TATATAGACCTATACAGTATACTAGCGAGTTAAAGCACCGAAGCACTTACCGTTCGGCGAGTTGTCTTCGCTCCCTGTTCTAAAGAAGCTATTTGCTAAGCTAACAATAGACTTTATTATAGGCCTTCCTCCTACTAAGCGTAGGGGTAGCAAGGATGTGTATAATGCTATCCTTGTTATAGTAGATCGATTTACTAAAGGCGCTCGATACATCCCGGCGCGCAAGGATTAGACTGCTATTAATATAGCAGAGGCGCTATAGACTGATATCTTCTATACCTATTAGGGAACCCCTAAGGGGATCGTGTCCGATCGTAGATCGACACTAATATCTTACTATTAGAGCGAGATTTGCTTGCAGCTAAGACTAAAGCATCGGCTATTAACAGCCTTCTATCTACAGACTAACGGTCAAACAGAGAGGCAGAATGCTACCCTATAGCAGTACCTACGTAGTTACATTAATAAGAACCCCGAGGACTAAGTCAACCTCCTACAACTAGCTGAATTCGTATATAACAATAGCGTCCACTTATCGACTAAGGTGTTACTATATATAGCTATAATAGGCTAGAACGCTGCTATGCTACAAGACCTACTATCGCTCGAGGCCGAGCGTAAGGAAAGGGAAGCGCGTCAAGTACCGGAAACACTAGCGGCAATAGAACGTATCTAGAAGATGCGAGAAATCTATACTAAGATAGCTGAGAATTTGATAAAGGCTTAAGAATACTAAAAGGCCTACTACGGTAAGCGTTATACACTAATAACCTTCAAACAAAGCGATATAGTTATGCTTAGCACTAAGAACCTCCGCATCCGCAAACACCTATCGCCTAATAGTAAAACAAGGCCCAAGCTCGTACTAAGATACATTGGCCTATTTCGCATCCGAGAACCGAAGGGCAATAGCTAGGCCTACTAGTTATAGCTTCCACCTTATTACACTATCTACGACACCTTCTATATCTCCCTCCTTAAACTATACTACTAGCGCGAAGGCGATGAAGCACCTACTAAATCCGAGGACATACTAGCTAATAGCGAAGAGCTATAGTCTATAGAACGTATCCTAAAGTATCGGACTAGGTAGGGCAAGAAGGAATACCTATTGAGATAGCAAGGCTATTCGCCTAAATGGGATTTATAGGAGGCTAAAGACTCGTTTAAGGATATAACTAAGTTGTTGGATAAGTATTAGACTAGCGTGAAGAACACAAAGAAGGCTAAGAGCTTATAATGTTACTACTAAGCCTAGGAACAATGCTACCCCCGGGGTGCTATTAGCTAACTAATCAGAGGCCGGCAAACTAGGACAATAAGACTATACTACTATAGTAAACGCGCGCCGAGTGTCAATAAGCGCGCTATAACGCGTTAACTATCCACTACTCTTTTAGGAAACCACCTCTCTACTAACGCGCCCTATAAGGCCCTTCTCCTAGTATTTAGGTCCCCCTCTTGTTCCCTTATTCTATCGAGGCCTCGAGGCCGAGGCAATCGGCGCGGCCGGCGCGGCTATATTAGTAACGGTGTTGCGGAGTGTATTGTTAGTCGAAGAAGGAAATTAGAAGCAAGGTAAAGTTAGCGCTAAGACGACTAGCGCTACTATTGTTAACATTACCTACTATTGTCGCTGCGCCTGCAGACGCAACCTTACCTATACTACGAGCCTAAGGCACCTTTAATCAAACTTTGATTAAAGCTTTAAGCCTATTAAAGGTTTAATCAAAACTTTAAGGCCAAGTTAAAACTTTAACTAAGTTAAAAGATTGAGCGACTAATAGACTAACTAAGGGCAAAACTATAGAGCTAAGCTAGCCGGGGTCGATCTTGCGGACAATAGGTTACTCCTCGATCTATCTAACCCTTTAAGCGAGGCGAACCTCTACTACTGCACTTATAATAGCCTTCACCTATAGAAACTAGACGAGCTGTGTTTTTTCTAAAAAGATAAGATAAGATTAACAATTGAAGGCTACTAAACCTAACCAATTAGGGCTAGCGAAACTACGAACAATAATAGCCCTCGTAATAATAAGAACAAACCCTCGGAAGCGGACAACCCTCGGAAGCGGACATAGCTAGGTCTTTTAGAGTAGACGCAAAGAACTCGGTACGACATTACGCAGAACGGGGGCAGTACTGCAATACCCCGTATACCTACCTATTATAGTAGGGAAGGTACGCTCGTATTATAATTAGTCGATAGTCTTTAATTCTTGTAGTTATATATTACTTTATTATATATAGGGATGGCGCAGTTAGAGTTAGACATTGTATTGTATTAGAAGTGAGGTTTGACATAGTTATATAATCGGTGATTGCGTGTTCAATTTAGCGCGGACTAAGAAGCTTGCTAGACCTGCTAAGTTAGTAGCGACAGAGGTTGAGAATAGAACAAAGACCGGCTACGAGGGCGCGGCCTTTAGAAGGGAAGCGTATATTAGGACTAAAGAGGTTACACGTAATTGGCATGTAACCGGGCTCGAGTAAAGCTAGGGTCTTAATGCCTTAGGCAGGGCTTGGCGCTTAGCGTTAGGCTAACTAGCCTGCCTTCCTCCCTCTCCTCTTAGATCTCTATCGAATACTATACCGATTCACGACCACCCTATCTACCTGCTAACATAACCCTTATCACACTATTTAAACTAGTACTATTAGTATATCGTAAAATTCGTATCGCAATCGAGTCGCAATCCGGAGAGTACCTGCTAAGCAAGCTAGAATCTATAACGACTAATAGGGCATTACTACTATACTATAACAATATATCTATATTATCTCTTCGGTAGGAAACAACACTATCGATACCGCTAAATAACCTCCCGTTGTCCGTTTTAAAAAATATGCACTTACGGTAAAGATACAGCGCTAGCAATATACTAGACATTCGCGACTTCTTAGCCTCTACTCTAGCTAGAATCTCGGCTTCTACTCGGTCTGCACCGGCGGTTTAGCTTAGTAGGTCTCGGCTTAATATATAGTTTAGACGGCTTCTAATTCAATGCTAGCGCGATACTATAACGCATTGTTTTTTTATTCCTACAAGTATATAAGCCGAGACTATAACTATCTGATACACCTCTAATTTATACTATACAAAAATACGTAGTGTTAGTAGAAAGACAATCGGCATTAGTTAAGCTAAAGAACTAGCTATTAAGCCGCCGACCTACCCGGAAATTCACCCTTAACCTCGCTTCTATACTAAAACAGCGCTTCTGTAGCTAACTATAGAATAGGCTGTTAGACGACTTATTAATACGGTTAAGACGCTGCTTACGGACTTAACTGCTAATGTATCGCTTTACTACAGTAATAAAGCGATCGTATTGCCCTTCTTTGAGTCTAGTAGCAACCTAACGGTCTAATTTAACCCTCCTTAGCTGCTTGAGTAAGAAGTTACCCTCTTTAGCGAAGACACGCTTAATATTGGCTATATCTGCGTATCGTTCACTCTAGCTGCTACTTAACTCTTTACGTAACTAGCTAAAGAAGCCTATTAATTCTATATCCGCTATATACGACTAATAGGAAGCAATTAAAGCCGGAAATAGACTTAATAGCATAGCAGTCGTTAGTAGACTAGAAGCTACTAGCGGACTAGACCTACGAGAGCGCTTCTTCGGAGCATTAACCTAGCTATTGTTATAGTAATTATAGATTACAACAGGGGTTGAAGAGCTAGTAGCGGTTGTTCTAGCAGTCCGTAGAGTCTTAAACGGGTTAAGAAGCTGTCTACCCCTATTCTTCTATATCTTTAATGCTAATGCGGAGCCTAGATCGTTAATAGTTAGACGGCCGTCTCTCGTGCCTTTAACCTAACGAGAGGCAATCTTAGGGTAGATCTTATAGTAATCTTCCGCTCTATCCGGACCGCTAAACTAGCATAACCCACCCTTATTCTAGCAGTATCTGTTCTTATACGGCTATCGCTTTGCTAACTCGTAGCGCTAATCCGATAGTAAGCTAGTTAAAGCGGCATTATTGTCGTCGGCTTTAGCTTCTAAGCCCTTAGATTAACCCTCGGCTTTAACCTAGCTCGTACGTAGAGCGTCTAGTTATTGTTAAGTTGCTGTCGTACGGGCTCTAGTTGTCCGGTTTCGACGACCCTACGAGGCTCTACCTATGCTACGAGACGGCTCTTTAATAGTTACTGTCTTCCGGCGCTTAACCGACAGCTTAAAGTCTAATCTAAGGCCCTTCTTGCCTTGCGAATACTAAGAAGACAGTATATCGTACGTATACTAGAAATTGACCTTCTTAATACTAGTACTATAGAAGTAGTATTTAGTCTTAATCTTGTCCGCTAAGGCAACAATCTCTAAGCTAGCTAACTTATAGTCGTTACCGTTAGAGCTAGTTATAAGCCAATTAGCGTACTAATCGTAGAAGTCGTCGCAGTAGGAGTTACTATTGCTACTAATCTTATAAGGATAGCACTCGCTCGATAGTAGCAACCGTAGGTTAACCGGATTAACTATTATCTACTATATTACGTACTCGAAGACCTCTCGCTCTTGTTTAATAGCTTTATCTTCTTCTTTAGCCGATATATTATCCTTATTATCGATACCTGTTTGCTAGGTTTGCTAGGTCTTAGTAGCTAGCAACTCGTCGTTAGTATCCGGTCCTTTACTTAACTTAATAGTCGGCTCTCGGCGGCGCTTGTAAGTAGCTCGATTAGCATTATTAGCAGCTAGTTGTTATGCGGTAAGGGCTTCTTTCTTCTTCGAAGAGGGCTTCTACTGTCGCTTAGAAGCTCTTAGTATAGTAACGGCTCGTTAACGGCTTCCGGATTGGCCTCGTTCTTAACCCCAATCGTCACTAGAGAACCTAAGTAGGTAGAGGTAAGAAAGACTTTCGTTCCGTCCCTAGTTTGCCTCCTATTTTGTATAGAGAGAGTGGGTCTACGGAAAAACTAAGGGTACGCGGAATATTCGAGACCTCCGCCCGCATGGCGCGACTTATTGAATACCGCAATACGCTGTTCCACTTACCGCACTCTATCTCCACCAATTCCAACCAGCATCCTGGCTTGAGGGCTGAATATACTTTCTTGTAAAGCTCCGCATGGCTCGTTATTGAGCCCATTAGGAATCTGTCGTGGATCATATCAAAACGCGAGTCGCCCCATGTTCAGTCCTGCTCGAAGTCATCCACTTCGAATCTGCAATTGGGTGGTACCCAACTGGGCTGTACCGGACTTAAAGGGGCACACAGACATCAGCAATGCGCTTCATTTCGTTAGGATCAATAGCCTCACCTCAGATCTGTCCCGATAACTTCGCATTCAGGATACTTATCAGCCGTCTCAATGCACCAAATCCCAGTGCCTGTCCCAACATCCAATACCTGCTTAGGATCATCCGGCGGACAAAGGTGAAGCTTTCCATCTAATTGCAACTTCTGGTTGTAGTGTTCGATATCCATTCGGTTGAGCTCGACCTCATCGTTCGGAAAGTGGTATTTGCCCGCATTGTAGCCTGAAGACAACGTGGTCAGCAAAGTATATGTGCAGCACATTCTTATCGCTACTGACCATGATATCGTCGCCCGTACTCGAAATGGAACTGTCTTGCGCTCGAGATGAGGCTAGTCGAGCTAGACTGCAGCATAACGCTCAATATGCATTCCGTGTGACATGCTGCATAGAAAATAGGCATACGGAACAGTGTCTCCACATACCTGTCTCCGCCGAACGTGCTATCATGCTCGTCATGTTCGTCTGCCTCCATTTCTACCAACTCCTAGCTCTTTCCAGCGTCCGCGGAGCTACGCCTTTGTGATCTGAAAAGGCTGCCTATGTCTCGAAAATTCCCTCCTGTTTCTTAACCCGCGAGATAACTGCGCAAGCCAAGTCCTAACATGGTAGGCTTGATCCCAATTCGCTGTCGGGGCAAGGTACTTTTATAACACTTGCTGCAGCTGCCCCGGCATTCGCTGGCTGGTAGAACTACATGAGAACTCGGCGGAGGCTCGCCTGGCTCCAGCCCAGGGTTTGACTCGATCGTGGGTTTTGCATATAAGGAGGACAGAACTTGTCCGGTCGCGCCTGCGCATGTTTGATCCCTAACAAACTCTATTAGGGACATCCTGAATTCTAAGGCTATCTCTTTATCTACCTACGCCCTTTGTTATAGAGTGGATGTTCTAGTCCGAAAGAGGGCATTCTATTGCCTCTATTTCTTTACTAAAATCGCTATATCTATATATCGCGTTATCTTAAAAATCTAGCTTAAAGGACTTAGAAAAATTTAGCTTTACTTAGAATAACTAATATACTAATAAGGGGAGAGTAGATCCGATCTGTCCTCCTTATATATATATCCCGATCGTATTTTCTAGTTCGATAATGTCTAGCGGCGCCGCTAGCTTCTAAATTTCGTATAAATCGCTAAACTTTCTTTACTTACGACCTCTTCTATTAGATATTTATAGGCGCGACTATTCGTAAATTAGTCCTAGCTATTTATAAATTAGTCGTCTAATCGTAGAGAAGGCCTAAGGCAGATTTATTAGTTATATATTCTACCGCTAAATAGCTATTTTCTACCTTACTATTACTATCGCTATTATATATACCTTACTATTAATATTTTATCGCTGCCCTTCTATATCTAATATTAGCTATATTATTAGGCTCTTCTACGTAGCTATAAACCGAGGCTACTACTACCTAAAGCTATAAACTAGTAAGAAGCTATAGGCTAGTAACTAGTAGTAACTTAAAGAAGCGATAAAATAGGCTAAGCCTAGCCTAGAAGGCCTATTCTACCTCTACTACTACTAGTACTATAGCAACCTTTACGTAAGGGCTATATATATTAAATAGCCTATAGAAGGTATAAGTACGTTAAAGATAACGTAGACTACTATTCTAGCTATTATAAGTAACTTAATGTAACTAATGTATTCAGAAGAAGGACTATCTACGGAAAGTCTAAAGATGAAGTGTAGCAGTTGCAGCCTTAGGCATTAGGCACGTAATAGACCCTAACACCTAGACACATACTCTAAGTCACCCCCTTAGCACGTGCATATCGCTATAGAATAAAACAAACACATTAGCTATTCAGTTGGCAAAGCAAACAGGGGTATTAGGTAAGCAGAAACAGGTAAACAAACTAGACCACTCTTAGGTTAAACAGACAAAGCAAACAAAGGCCCTTTCTTCTTAGTACTTAGTAGCTAGCTTTGCAGCGCTCTTAATAGCGGCCTTGCAATCCACTAGGTTTAGTTGTTTAACAAAGCGGCCGTGCTTAATCTTATTAAGCGGCTTAGTGAAGCTATCGGCTATCTGATTATGTGTGCTAACCTATTAGACGACAATAGTACTATTAGCAATCTTCTCTCGAATGTAGTAAACACGAGCATCTATATACTTCGTACGGCTATTAATGCTAGTCGATTTAGTAATAGCAATAGCGGACTAATTGTCCTCGTAGAGCGTAACTAGAAGAATATAGCCCTTGTAGCCAATTTCCTTTAATAAGCGAGCTAAGGCAACTGCTTCCTTAGCCCCTATAGTAAGTTGAATATACTTAGCTTCAGTTAATAATAGTGTAACGAGTGTCTAGCGGCCGGACTTATACAATAGAGGTCCGCCTACAATAGTAAAGTAGAAACTGCCTATAGAGCGGCGGGTAACTAGATCGTTAGCCTATAAGGCATTATAGTATCTAGCAAAATTGAGCTTATCGTTCTGTATGCCTTAGAAGCGTATGCTACGACTAAGGGTACTAACTAGGTACTTAATTAGCTAAAGGAGTGCGGTATAATGCTCTTTAGTAGGATTAGAGATAAATCGTAACAATAGGCCTATAGTGTAGCAAGCATTAGGTCGCGTAATTATAGCTAGCTATAGTGCCTTACTAATACCTTCTTGATACTAAGTCTTGAAGGCGGTACTAGCTATATAGCCCTTAGGTGCGCGTTAAATAGACGTCTTAATATAGCGAGGCGCTATTAGAGTAGCTAGACCGATACGGCTACGCATACTATATTTCTTACTAAGCCTATTTAAATAGGCATCTTAAACGACGTAAATGGTGCGCTAACCGCGGTTACGGATAATCCGCATGCCGAGATAGTAGTATAGGTCGCCTAGTTCTCGTATATTAAAACGGTCCTTTAGTAACTGAGCTACTGCCTCTAGTGCTAATAGAGTGTAGGCGATGATAATTATGTCGTCGATATAGATAATAATAATAGAGCCGCTAACAACGTGTTTAAACACACATATATCAGCCATTATTAGCACAAAGTCTAGGCTCTTTAGGTACTTTCGAAGCTCTTCGTACTATAGCATTAGCGACTGTTTTAGACTATATAGTGCCTTTAGTAATAGGCAAACTATGCCCTTTCTACTACGGTCCTTAAAACCGTATAGCTGTTCGACGTAGATCTTATACTTATTACCGATAAGCGCATTAAGGAAGGCCGTTAGAATATTATACTGCTTAGCCTCTAGGTCGTAATAAGCGATTAGTGCAAACAGCGCTCGTAGCGTAGACGGCTTAGCTATAGCCGTATAGGTCTTATTATAGTCCTATCCTTCAACTTATGTAAAACTACGGACGACCTATCGAGCCTTAAACCGGCTTACCTTGCTATTAGCATTACGCTTAATAGTGAACACCTATCGGCTACGGACAACCTTGCGACCTTCTAGCACCTCTAACCGAGATACATAGACCTATATATAGTTGTCGATTAGTAACTTGTATTTAGCCTTATAGGCCTCCTTCTATTATAGCTAGTATAGCGACTAAGTCGCCTCCTTATAGCTCTTTAGAATAGGAATAGTGTCTCTATCTAACTGTTTAGCAATGTAATAGGAAGCTATAAAACCCTTAATATAGGCTATCGGCATGTTAGCTATTATACGTCGAGTTAACCGCTTAACACTATAATTAGCTAGATAGCTACGCAATAGGTTACGAGCTAACTTGTTGCTACGGGTTATACGGGTAGAACGAGCGCCTATCGTATTAGGTCGCTTAAACTTAGGCAACTAGCCTAGCTCGCCCTTCTTAGCGTTTGGATTATATGCTAGCTCTTCCTCGGCTAACTAAAAGCTATCTTTATTACTTAAAGCTAGTAGTTGAACGTCTAGTAAGTCATCGTCGAGTAGCAACGGACTAGCGACCTTATTAGTTACCTCTATGTCCTAAGCAGGCTCGTCTAGAGGCTCTTCTTACTAGGCTAGAAGCTGCTGGACTATACTAGCGGCGTCGGCTAGTAACGGAGCCTCGTTGCTTATAGAATTAAACAGAGCCGGCATAATAGACTCGAGTGTAACAAACTCGTTCTTAGCTAGGTCGTTAGGATTAGCGTATAGATTTATGCCCTCTAGAAGCAACAGCTTACTAGCCGTCTTAATAAATTAGACATCCTTTAATAGAATAACCTTATACTAGTTAGGGAGGTAAATTATATATTTTCCTAAGTCTACTAAGTCCTTAGTATAGCCGACTAGCTTGCTAATAAGGCCTCTGCTATCTATCTTCTTTCTACGAGCAACTCCGTAATTATATACAATAGCAGTATAGCTATAGGTACGAAGATATTAAAGGCGTAGCTGCTTTCGAGACTAATTGAGCTTCCTAGCTATAATAGTATAGGGGCTAAGACCTTCTAAGGTTCTAGGAGTGATATTAAGGACCTATATAGCAGTAGTAACTGCATACGGCTATAGGGCCTTTAGCAAATTCGCATAGAGCATTATCTTCCGAGCGGTCGTATATACGATGTAATTGCTAACCTTAGCTAGGCTATTCTAAGTAGAAGAATGAGGTACTGTAACCTGCAGTACAATGCCCTAATTACGAGCCTAGCTTAATAGCTAATTTCCGCCGTACTTACCCCCTCTATCGAGGCAGTAGATTAGGATCGAATAGCTAGTTTGTATACGGACGTATACACGGTAGTCCTTAATTGCTACTGCAGCTCCTAACTTTAGCGAGCTAGCATATTCGTATCGATAGGCTGATTTGGCGCATATAAACAACGTGAAGTAGCGTTCTTATAGTAGACTAGGGTTAGTAATAGTAACTATATCTATACAGACAATGTAGTAAATAGTAGATAGTCGTAGTCGTAGCAGTCGGTTGTACTCCTTATATAACATTACTATACGACAAGCGATACAGTTTCGGAAGTCGGTCTTGTTTCTAGTAATAACAATCTGACCCTTAGCTTCTATTCGTAATAGCTTACGGTGATAGATATAGCTATATCGTAGATGCCACTCTTCTATCGTACCTATTAGTACTCCCTTCTTCGACAGAAGCGCAACAACCTAGCCGTTAGGACTAGAGGTTAGTATATACAGATAGGGGAGACTATTCTTTCGGTATATCTAAGCAATAGTGACCTCCGAGCCGTTAATAACAGTAAATAGTACGCGCTTGTCGTTCCGATAGAAACATCCCTTATCGGTAAGCTTCTTAGTAGATAGGAGGTTAGCTGCCAGACCTAGCATATACAGTATATTAGACAACTTTATGCTGCTTATACTACGCTTATTAACTACCTTAGTCTAAGCCATTCCGACTATCGTAGCGTGCTTCGTATTACTACCAAATCGGACAGGAATGTAATAGCCTTCATATTTAATAAGCAATAAAGGGTCGTTAACTATATATATACTAGTACCTAAGTCGACAACCTAATTAGTAGTACGAGTGCTAGTAGTAAGAGCCGTAGAAACCTAGTCGCTAACAGTAACTATAGTGTTTGCAGTAAAGGCGTAATTGTAGCTTAGGTCTAATAACACCCCCGGGGTAGCATTAGCCGTATATAGCCCCTAAGCACTATTCTAACTAGATAGCGGTTGTTGCTATATAGTTAGTCTACGCTGCTACTGTTGCTGCTACACCCCCTTCTTCTTAGCCTTCTACTGTTTACGACGCAGTCGGTCTTCCTCCTTTAGATAAGGGTACTTAGTATAGTAGCGGTTAGAAGGGTGTAACCCCTAATAATAGGCGCACTTCTTACGGTTAGACTAATAGCTATTCTAGTTCTAGTTGCTTCTACCGCGGCCTCGACTATTGTTATTGTTTCCGCGGCTACTACGACCGCTACGGTTCGAGTTACCTCGACTATTGCTATTGCTATTGCTACCTTACTATTATAGTTAGCGTTAAAGACTAAAGAAGCCGTTATATTAGGCCTAGTTTAATTAAGCTACATTCTTATTAAGCAACGCGCTAATAATATTGTTAAGTGTGTTATCGTTAATAGTGTATTCGGAGGCGCGTATCTGCTCTCGGCGTATCTATACGAAAGCCTCGTAGAATAGAGAGATCTATATAATAAACATATAGACAGCCTAGTATTAGCTAATAGCTAATTTAGTATCCTTTAAGGCACTAAGCTTCTTCTTGTACTTATTGCAGAACTTCTTAATGTCCTTGCTATTATACCGAAGGGTGATATATTCCTAGTAGAGTATAAATTTAGTAGACCCACCTTTACTAGTATATTTCTTATATAGGTAAGTCTACACTTCCTACGATATAGCGAGACTAAGTAACGACTGCTAAACCTTAGCGATATAGTTAGCAAAGATCTACGTACGCGCTAATTGATCTTTTGCTTCCTATTTATCTTATCGGTCTTTAAACTCTAACTAAGTTTTAGAAGACAACTTAATATTAGGCTTTAGGCGGGTCCCTTAGATATAGCGCTATACCTATATGCCTTTAAGGGCACCCTTAGCGGTATAAGACTATAATAGATAATTCTCCTTATTCTTTAGCTTAGGGATGTTGCTTATATAAGCGCTAGTAGAAGTTATAGAGGGAGCTATTATAGACAGCGACGGCGATAATATAGAAAGAGACTTTAGACTTGTCTTAAGGGGCGGCCGATAGGCGCGCCTATATTCTAGTATAGCGGACAGCTAACACTATTGTTATATAACCGACTCGAGTCGGACTAGTACCTACTAGAATACTCGAAGGGCGGCGAGGGTAGCAGCGACGATAATAGTATCGGCGCAATTTTTAGTAACGAGCGCTAGCTACGCAGCTATCGGAGTAACTATTAGAATACGTAGTAAACGTGTTATATGCGTTAGAAACGCAGGGGGCTTATAACTACTTAATATAACTAATGTATTTAGAAGAAGGACTATCTACGGAAAGTCTAAAGATAAAGTGCAGCAGTTGCAGCCTTAGGCATTAGGCATGTAATAGACCCTAACACCTGGACACACACTCTAAGTAAGTATAGGTAGTATAATAGGGTATCTATATAGGGGCCTTTAGTACCTCCGAGAACTCCGCTAGTATCTATAGCGCTAGTAGTAGTACTAGATAATACTAAGATTATATAGTAGGAGGCTTAGGAGCTATACGTCGATACGACGGTCGTAGTACCCTATTTGCTAGGTAGGTAGTATACCTAGAATAGCTAGGAGTAGCTATAGTATCTAGTTCTATATCTACTATCTAGTGTATTCCTCTTTCCTATATTGTAATTCTACTTAGCAGCTAGCAAGGGCTTTAGAGGTCTCTATACGATATTATACTATATAGTTTGCTAACAATATAGTCTCACCGAGACCGGAGCGGCCCGGGTCCGTTGATTTGTAAATAGCCGGGGCTGATTTACCGTTTACGAATAGTCGCGCGGCCCAACATTCATCACCACACTCCCGGCTTTCATCCAAGCTGTGATTCCCCAGAACAGTCCACCAGGCGAGATCGGAAGGCTGAAGCCATGGCACGCGATCGAGACGCGCCGTGATTGGCAACAAAGACATTGATCTACCTAGTCATCAAGACCGAGGCCCAGCTGTTCATGCATGCATTAGAGCTCGAGGCTACAGTATCTAGTGACGGGAAGGACGCAACGTGAACGCCTGATGTCCCAAGCGCTGCAGTCGCCAGCACATAGATGTGACATTGACGACTGGCATGGTGAGTCCGAATATTTTCCACCTCTACAGACACCATGTCAGCAAACGTCGAAGGATGTCACCTTGTTGGCAGCGTGCCTCTTAGCGATACCGAAGCAGTCTTCCGAGCATGTATCAATGGCTTACCTTCACGACTCAAACGAATTCCCGATGGCGAGACCGGCAGTAGGCATTATTTCACACTGTTCCAATATTACCTGTTCAAGGCGGCGCCGGTTATGATGGTGGATTTCTCGGACAATCAGGAGGCTGGCGCGAAGCAGTTCACAGAAGAGCAGATCAACGATGGGGTAGAACAGTTGAAGAGAGCCAACATAGAGACTGGCTATGATACTGCTGCGATAGAGAGCTATGCGGTTTTCACCAAGCTGAGAGAGGAGGGCGTGGTTCCGAAAGGAGTGAAGTTCCAAGTCGGCCTTCCAACGTAGGTGTCAAGCCATCGAGCGCTCCAAGTATCTACTGATCGCTCCTTTCATGCAACAGCATAGCGAGTGTGATAGGCCCATTCGTAGAAAGAGCATTTCAGGCAAAGGTGTCTCCCATCTACGAAGCGGCATTGTTTCGTGCCACGCGAGAGATCCAGGACAAGATACCACACGAAGATCTCTCGATCCAACTGGATCTAGCAGTCGACACCGCGTACTGGGAAGGCGAATATCTCACACCCTGGTTCGACAACACAACGAAGCTGCTAGCAAAGTGGTGCCTCGGTTCGGAATTGCTTCAGAATGTGGCTGGGGCAGAAGGCGTGCAGATCAGATGGAGAACATGATGAGCATATGTAGAGAGCTTTCAAAGCCATTCGTGTAGTTGGGACGGGAACGGAGATTTTTTTTTATTCTGGTTGAAGGCTAACGTCGCAGCACTGTTCATCGGGAGAGTGTGAGCTTAGCTCATCTTGGCGCAGGCAGTCGAACCACATGCATTATTCACGCGGATCCGCCATTCACAAGCAGCATCCGTCGACCAAGTGTTATTCTACTAACTAGCAGTTCGGGGCCCTGGTCGTAGAGCTGTACAAGTAAAGCCTTGGCAGCTTGGCAGCCGGACCTCAACCTTGTGAGCGAACGGTGAAAGGCTCCGTTGCCGCCTGCAATTGAGAAGCTTGCATTCTCTGCTCCAACAACAGCATCAGGCAATGCCTATGCCTATGCCGCTGTAAACCTCAGGACCGTGCGCAGTCACAAGAAACCATACTTCCGCGCATCACATTGGCCTCCGCTCGTGCAGGACACCTTGAATGGCCTAGTGAGGCCTCCCACCGATCTGAAACCGGAAACAGCCACTCAGTGGGCACACCTATAAGGAACGGCGTATAAGGAACGGCGGCCGAGCGCCCTTCTCCCTCCAGTCCCGATCACCACCTGCTCCTCCACGCGCTTGACCTCCGATATACGACTTCCGTACCAAGGCATCGACGCACTCTTGCACCGGCTCGTTCTGCGGAATGCTTCGTGTGTCGATGGAGGATCCAGTCACCGAGAGCATGCTAGACAGGGCGCACTGCACACGAGCCCGCACTTCAGGACTAACCAAAATGGCGAGAACACCATCTGGCAGGCATGAACCGACCATCCGCACTCGCAAACGGCCACTTTCGAAGGCAAACAGCCTCTCCAAATCCACCGAACGTGGTTCCATGTGTGGCCTGAACAGCCAAGTGAGCACTCCCGTCTCTGCCGCGCGAGCAGTATAAAGTGCGCCTTGGAGGCCACCTTCAGAACACTCCTCAGCAGCAAGCGACCAAGGGCAACAGCAGCAAGACAATCAGCTACATTCCTCCCTCTCTACATCGAAACTATGCACGCTTCAAAGGTTGCGGCCATCTTGGCCTTCTGCGCCGTTCAAGGCTTGGCTGTGCCCACCCAGATGGTAGGATGCCCACCTCCCCAACGACTGCCCCATCTAAATCTTAAATTGAAATCATAGTTGAGCTACAATCTCGGTCGAATTGGTATTGACACTGGTGACTCCAAGCTTCCCAACCTGCCAAAGCGCACCGTCGTCGAGACCTCGTCCACTGGCGATGCTGCCACCGACGCCAAAGTTGCCCAGAACCTGAAGAACGCCGAGCCTTCGCTCACCAACGAAATGCAAGATGTGGCTGCTATTGCTCAGCAGGAAGTTTCTGCTATTCCAAACCTCCTCGATGCTCTGCAGTCGGTTACTGCCCCTCTCATGCAGATGAGCACCGCCATGCAAAAAGAGGCTACGACTGTCGAGAATGCCGAGACCAACGCTGTTGCTGCTGCTGCTCCAGCTGCTGCTCCAGCTGCTGCTCCAGCCAGTGGAACTACTACTGCTGTCACTACTGTCTCCAAGCGTGACCCTGAGGCACTTCTCAGCTTGATTGCTCCAGTCTTGGACACCGTGGGCAAGATTCTCTCCAAGAGACAGGAGGAGAAAGGTATTTCTCTCCCCTTCATGAAACATCAAACAGAATATCATATATGCCAACACCGTCTGTCTGTCATCTAGTGCTCGAGGCCCGCAGAGGTGGAGGCAACATCGGAGGCATCGTCGATGGTGTAGGCAACCTCGGTGCTTCTATCATCGGCCTCTTCGACAAGCGGGACGGTACGTATCCATAATCTATTCCCGACGAAACGATAGGCTAATATTCTGTAAACAGAGGGGATCCTTGAAGAGCGCAAGCTCCGAGGTGGAGACAACCTCGGGGGCATCGTCGATGGTGTAGGCAACCTCGGTGCTTCTATCATCGGCCTCTTCGACAAGCGTGACGGTACGTATCCATAATCTATTCCCGACGAAACGATAGGCCAATATTCTGTAAACAGAGGAGATCCTTGAAGAGCGCAAGCTCCGAGGTGGCGACAACATCGGAGACATCGTCGATGGTGTAGGCAACCTCGGTGCTGCTGTCGTCGGCCTCTTCAACAAGCGTGACGGTATGCCTTCAAAATTTCCCCTCCACGAAAATCCATGCCAATATGTCATCCCCCTCAGCTAGCCGCCCGGGAGATGATAGTTCCTCTCGTGAGAGTGGAAGTTCATACTTTCAATGATCTATGCTAATGCGTACCTCGCTAAGAATAAACACACAGCCGAGATCGAGCGCCGCAAAGTCACCAACGACGAAATCGGAGATCTTATCAATAAAGGCGGCGCCCTTGTTGGTTCCATCGTCAGTGTATTCGACTAAATAAGGGGGGACGGAGTGGTGGATCAGGATTACCACCTGCTAGCTAGCAAGCATGGCACAATCTTCTGTTGGGTCTCCTATAAGAGACCGGGGAAATGTCATTTATATCATATAGAGAGGAGGGCCTCACAAAGCTCAAAAAGCAAGTCATTCGTTTGTTATATTTGAAAATTGATATCACATCCATTCATTTCTTTTTAAGAACAGTCTCTCGGCTATTGAAAAGTTGAAAAAGGAGAATCTTATAGCAGCCATTCGAACCAGAACCATCCGTCCTTTTTTTTGGAGATCCAACTTCGCGCTTTTGCAACTTCATGGTCTCTTCTTTTCACGCCCCTGCACTGCCATCGTCGAATGTGTTACATCAGAAGCAGTCGAGAAAATTCCAAGACGCCATGATGCGTCGCCAGCTCTCATCCCCGAAGGAAATACGAAATTAAGGAATTCCATGCACCGTCATGGGAAGTCCTCGTTGATTTGATCTGCTTGGGGTGTCGAATATCCAAGTCAGACCTGACATAGCTCATCCACCCCCTCAAGAGCCATCACCAAGCAACGCCTGCTTCTCATCATCAAACTTGGGCAAAACATGCTCCTCCGTCTTCCTGAACGGAAGAGCCATTCCATGCTGCCCATAAAGCAACACAGCATCCTTCACACTCATCCTCGGCTTGATCTCAAGATTTGCAATCTCCTCAGACCTCCAGTTCAACATCATCGCCACATGAGACCACGCCAACCCACTTCCGTAAATCGCCTCGGCAATCGTCAATCGAAGAGGCGACTTGAAATATACCGGCCAGAACGCCATGAGTAGGAATCCAGCCATCATCCACATCTGCGCTAGATGTGTCGTGAGCGTGCGTAGTTCGGGGATATGTGCTCCCAACGTCCCGTTCTCACAACTGGTTTGCTTCTTGGTTGGACGGAATTTCGCGAAGGCCCAGCTGAAAAGCAGGAGTTGCAGCATGGGGAATACCAGGAACACGAAGATGAAAATCCCGAGCATGCTGATGCTGGCAATTCCAAGATCTAGCCAGAGTTGCGGTGTGTAGGCTTCGGGGTTCGCATCGACGTCTTTCCATACTGCGAACACACTTATGCCTGCATCGACGAGCCAGATCGCCAGGGTGTGGAAGCAGAAGAGAGAAGAGACCAGGAATTGGCAGCGTGTGATTCCGCGCATTTTCTTGTCGCAGGCCGCGAAGGTTGCGGCGCGTGAGGATGGGTTTTGGAGGAGTTCACGTCGGCATTTTCGGGTGAGGAGGAGGGATTTTATGCTTAGGAAGAGTGAGATTGCGGAGAGGGTGTAGATTAATGTGAGGCAGTATTGGAAGAGTTGAGGGTGGGTGCGCTCGAGCCAGGCTTCTTGCCAGCCTGAGATGGAGATGTCGTGGTCGGCCATTTTTGGAGTTGGCAGATGGTTGGTGTTGATGCGATGCGCGGCGCTATGGATTGGTTTTTGGAGTTGTGATGAAGGAAGGACTCCAGCTGTGAGGCTGTGCTTGTGAGGCCGCGGGGCGGAGGTCCTGGCGCCGGGTGGTGCGAGGGCAAGGGCAATGGCACGCGACACCTGAGGTTGAGGAGGATGTAGTGTAGCAAGCCTTATGCTGGAGTCTTCCAGCTACATGTATATGTAGTTTGCTGTGACTATCGCCGTGATGACCGTGATGTGAGGTGCAACTGATTGCTGACTGGCGTTTCCGGAAATGTCGTCATCGGAGTGCACGGACGCTTGGACCCCTGTTTCAACCTCTCCACGCGTTCACTTCACGTCGATTCTTCATCCCGGCACCGAACGCAAACCCAACAGCTTGCACTGTTCGTGCCGTCCTACTTTGCGTAGCTGCCGATCCCCGATATTCTGAAGTATGGTCCAACTCCCACGAACATAGAACTTGCTAAGCAGCGATTCTCCGAAGCAGTTCAGCCTGGCCTTGGTATTACAGTACTTCCCAGAGCAAGCTACAGAGCGCCACATTATTACTCGCCCACCAACTCGGTCTAGGCACTCCGATAGCTCTGATATACATGTATCCGAACTCTGCGGGTGTCATCCAGCTCTACTGCTCCTCCGGTCGAACTTTTCTTTCCATTCCCCTTTCTACTCCAGACTAGACCTCGAAAATCTACAATCCCTTGAGACATCTTGTTCTTACCTAACTCAATATCATTCACCATCAAAATCTCCATCCCTCCACCAACCCCCAACCCCAACCCCATCATGCCCTAACCTCTCTACCCAACCCTCCAAACAACCGCCCAAAACTTCATCACCTCCCTCCTCCTCCTCCTCCAACACCCTCTCAAACCTCCACCCAACCTTCAAAATCACCTGGGGCCACAGAACCTTCGTATCCCGCACACCTAGTCTCCGAGGCTCCAAGACCGCGTCGGAATTCATCACCCATCTCTCAAAAATGGCTTCAGGATTCCAAACGAAGTACAGCAGATGATTGTGGATACGGAGCAGAGGACCGTGATGGTGAGGGGGGAGTTTTTCATGGTGACGAAAGGGACGAGTCCTGTAGGGGAGAGGACGGCGGTGAATGAGATAGGTTTTTTTTTGTTGGGGAAGGATGAGAGGGGGGAGAAATTGGGTTCTGCGATGGAGTGTGTGGATCCTGTTGCTGGGAGGTTGATGGGGGTGGATAAGGCGAATGATGTGTGAGGTTGGGGAAGATGTCGTGAGAAGGAGGTTTGAGGGGGGATTGAGGCGAAGGAAGGTGCGTTGTAGATGATGGGGCAAAAGCTTTGCGATTCGGGTCCCCGAAACCATTCTGCTCGGTCTGTAACCAATCTAGAGATCAAAGAAGTCGTAATAGAAGCTGTTCAGAAAGACGAGCAGCACCGATAGTCATAAGACATTCGACGACTCGCGGGAATACATATCACACTTGAGCTTATGGTTCGCTGTCGGGAGAATGCAATTGAGACTGAAGTCAATAGTATTGAAGTGACCGCATCGGCCTCTGGGCGCCTTGAGTCGTAAGATACAGATTCTATGGGGCAATATACAACGCCACAATGCTGCCTCTGAATGCGCAGCATAGGCTCCTCAAGCCATGTGGGTCCGTTGCAAGCAATGCTTATGCTTTCACGCTGATAGGAAGTTAGTATGCGGCTCTCGCTCGATCTTTGGAGAATCACTCACCTCCATGGATGATCCTCCTCTCCGTACTGGATGCCTTCGATCCAGTTCTTCATCTGCAAAGCAATGGGTCCGACCTCCTCACCAGCTGGAAGACCACAGTCGACCAGTTCGCCTTGGTAAGAGATCGCTCTCACAGGAGACACAGTGGCCGCAGTTCCAGACCCAAAAACTTCAAGCAGGCGGCCTTCATTCGCGGCTTCTACGAGTTCACGCATCGGGAACCGTCTCTCAGACACTTTCCAGCCGCGAGGTCCGAGTCGCTCTTTCGCCAGTGTCAAGACAGAATCTCGTACCACGCCTTCAAGAATTGTGCCATCGAGCGGCGCAGTCATGAGCTCTTTCTGTCCATCCTTATTCTGAATCGCAGCGAATAAGTTCATGGTGCCAACCTCTGTAACGAAGTCCTCCTCTCTGCCAGTATCCGGGTCAATGTCGCGGAAAAGCCAGAGATTTTGGTGGAAGCCACGAGTCGCGGCTTGCATTTGTGGGACGATGCATGGTGCATAGTTGGCACCGAGCTTGCTTGCACCTACACCGCCAGGCCAGGCACGAACGGCGTAGTCAGTGGCTTCTAGTGATACGGCTTTGAAACCTGTTGGGTAGTAAGGCCCTACAGGAGAGGCGATCACGTAGAGCATAGCGCTGCCAGGAGGACCCACTCCGAGCGTTCTTTGGGTTCCGATGATGTTGGGTCTGATGTATAAGCTGTATCCCTTTTGTCTGGTCCATCTCGTTAGTATGCGTATGCCCGCCCCGAGTCGCGAGCTCACTCACGAAGGTATGAATCTCTCCTCGAGCTTGACGAAGCGCTTGATCAAGTCAATGACAGCGTTTCCATCGAATGTGGGAAGCGCTATCCGGGCAGCACTCTTGTTCATTCGCGCCATGTTCTTGTCTGGTCGAAACAGCCTCACGTCCCCATCTTTATCCTTGTACGCCTTCATTCCTTCAAAAGCTTCGAATGCATAGTGTAACACGCAAGTCGCAGGGTCTAGTGAGAGGTTTTGGTAGGGTGTTATCCGTGGTGGAAGCCATCCGTCTGCAGCTGTCCATTCAAGCGACAGCATGTGATCTGTGAATGTTCGTCCGAAGATGAGCTCCTCATTTGGAGTGATTGGTTTCGGGGTTGTGGTTTTGGTGATGGAGAGTGCACCGGCATCAACTTTGCTTAATCTTGGGTCTCCTGCATCGGGCGCGCGAAGACTATATTGCCGTCGCTGTTGTCTTTGAAGATTACTACCACTCGACCGCACGGTATTCGAGAAGTTCCTGCTGAATTGCTTCGAGCTCCGCGGCAGGAGCGTTCGTAATGAGGATGCCATTGATGGTTATGGGAAGCGAGAACACACTGTAGCCTCCTGCGCCGACCCTTTTCATCAGCTACAAGTCGCAATGGCTCACAGTCGTCGAGTAAAACGCGAAGTAGTAGGGCGCGTTGCTTGTGGATTGTTCTTGCCGAGCTCGGAGTCGAGGCGAGCTGACTCATCAACTCATACAGATTTGAGAACAATCAAAGGGTCTCCTGTTGTCACGAAGATACATAACACTAGAAAAGAATATCAAATATATAATAGAAGAGGCTATTGCACTATAAGGTAGTCCACTCCACACCGCAAGTAACAGCTACAAAGGCAAATCGCTTTCTAATCTTAATAGAACGTCCGATATGTAGAACTATTACTACTAAGTATTTGCGAATATTGTATTCTCTGCGCCAAACCGGGCTCGATTCCAGATCTTCAATTACCCTGACATCTGGAGGTCTTTGCTCATAACCCAATTCCTGGAGTTGCGAATTTCATCGGTTGGGATGGAGCGACTGAAGCCCTGGCTAGACATATGGCTTCTGTGCGCGTCAATGTCGTCTCCACTGGGACTATATATACTGAGATGCTCGCAACGTTGGGAGATGCCTTCGGCGAGGCGACTTCAATGAAGGGCCGGCACTGCTAGTGAATGTGTGTGTTGTAGCACATCTGCTCTGTATGCGCTCTGCATTCTAGTTCCAAGGCTGATGGCGGGATCTCGTATGCTTGAATTTCTCAACTGCCCAAAAACAATGCGGTGGAATTCTCTCTTTAGATCGTACACAATTTTCGTAGCTCTCGTCTTCGGCGCGGGTGATCGACGTAGAAAAAAGCGTGCTCTCTTCCTTTGTCGTGTCCATCTCTCTGCTCTGACACTGGGCTGCGTCCTGTTAGCCCTTCCGGCTGACATCCTGCGTTGACCTGCGAGAACGATCGCCTTCGTCTGACATGCGTTCTTCTTTCGGTGTCTCCCAAAATCCCTTATAGCATGTATTGATGACTACCTCGCCACTTCTGTGCATAAGTGCTTCAATGAGCTTCGAATGGGTAGAAATCCGTCCAGGCGTGGACCGGCTGCCCAGTAGGTTGGTACATCATCGGATCTGGCTGAGCTTGGGATACTAGCTGGGATGTGGTCGTGTTGATAGGGAATATTGGTCTTCGCTGCTGCTGCTGCTGCTGTTCGGTGTTGCTCTGCCGCCTGTGATCTGCATTTGCACGCTCCACAAGACCAAACTTTGGTGTCAAAGTCCTCAGAGGCATGTAGTTTGCTGCAGGGATATCGTCGACAAGTCCTGGGAAATCGTAGAAGAAATTGACGTCCATTCTCCAGTTCGCCATGTTCAGTATCGCCCCTTCAAATTGATTCGACAGCTGATATAAGGACGAGTCCGAGGAGAGAGCCAGCACATCCATAGGTTCGTACTGCCAAGCTACTTTGAGATTCCTCACCCACAAGGCCCAGAACTTATTTGTGAGAACATCGACTTTTGTGGACATCAACCTTTCTCGCAGTGCTGGCCAGGTCAAATGATCGATCACAGGATCATGAGCGATTAACTTCTCCGTCATACTGATGTGCGTTAGTCAAATACGTGAATTGCGCATACGTGCTATACTGACTGTGGTTGATACCAGACCGGTAGCGGTCCCTCCACTGCCACCGGCGTATTTCTGATCTCAAATATGTATCGTTTATGCAACATCCGAAGACATCCTAGCCTCTCAATCAGGTTGCATTCCTTGAACAAGCACAAGTCCACGGTTTGGAGCACTTCCCAAAGCGGACAGATTTGGTCATAGCGGTTCAGTGAGTACCTCCAGCCCTTCAACACTGCATTAATGATGACATCCTGATTGTATCGATCCTCGAAGCAGACGCGATCCGGTGGTAACATGCGAATGTGATTTACCAAGTTATTTAGAAACATTGTCACATCGCGACCAGACGGCACGGGCTTGGCCGCTGTGTACACGCCTGTGAGCTCCGGATGTCCATTGCTTGGATGGGCTCTGCTCGGGTGGACGAATTCCTCCTGGTCTGGGTCGTTCGGTGCGCCAGCGACAGAGTGGCCTGCTGCATAATGGTCGTCGACAGAGCCGCCAGAATTAGATCCACTGGTCATTGCGTGTGAAGCATCGAATACACCTGTGGCAAAGCCAGCCGCATCTATGACGGTCAGGGCGATGCATTGCAACATACAAAGCGCGCAATCACTTACTTGCTGCCACATTCCAGTTTGAGACCTTATCGGCCACGGTCAATATGGATCCATCAGGTGCTATGCTCAGCTCTGCGCCATTAGAGCTGGTGCTGGAGGCAATACCATGTGGGCTGAGGCCTGGATTGGGGTTCGCAGTCCGTGTTTCGGTTGACGTGTGTTCCAGTTGCAGCACCCGAGCCTCCAGCAGCGCAAGGCGATCCTGTACTTCTTTCTTCAAGAACCTGTTTGCTTTGCGATCGACTTCCTGTTTCCGCGCGCGTTGTTCTGCAGTGAGAACACGACCACTAGCCCAAGCTTTCTCACCTCCAGTACCTGCAGTTTTGCCGGCAGCCGTGCGACCGTTCATAGTCGATTAGTTATTAATTGCTCCGATGAAGCCCTGTGTTTCGCCGACGTTCGCGCACTTCCAGAGCATCCGATAATAGGCAGCGGGGTTGTTATTGATGAGACATCTTGCATGTGACGCATGAGGCAATGGAGGACAAGTCAATCTGATACAGAAGGAAGAAAATGGAGAGATACCTGCTCGATTCACCACCTTCTTCATCCGCTTCTGGACCTCTCTCTTCCCCGCAGCGCTATCACGCGCGCCTCCGTGGAACGCTTTGGGCCAGATCGACAGCACCAAGAAGGATTCTACTTTGCCAAGCGTCGGCCTGTTCCGGGCGAACCTCTTCACTGCCCAGCGTGTCACTGCTTAAGCCTAAGTCGAAGCTTAATGACGGCGACTGGGACATGCGGGAATGGGACTGCATTCCGCAAGTACCTCGACCATTTCTGTGCCTGCGTGTAGCCCGAAGCCGCTTTTTTGCGCGCAAGCAAAGTCATTCGAGGCTCTCGTTGGCGGCATTGCCCAGGCGGGATGTACTGAGAGGACGACAGCCGGTAGAGACTAGCCCTTCTCCGGTGCTCCAACCGTGGCGCGCTGGCATAGAGTTGAATTTCCAGCGCACTATTGCTGTGAACGCGAGTGTTGTTGTCTCGAGAAAGTCGACGCTGGAGCTGGAGAGCCAGGGTCATTAGTCAGCAGACCCACCGACAAGCATCGCTCACCTTGCCCAATGCCAAGAGAGCATATGCGGGAGGGGCGGGGATGATGGGAGGGCTCCAATGCGTCCTCAATCTCGAGCATGTGTTCCTCAGCTATCGGCGTTTCAATGCATACCGCGATGACTTGAGACCCATCGAGCACACGCAGCTCCGATGTACGCACTGCTCAGTACTTATCTGAAAGAGCGTTGAGCGACGGCGTAATAGCTTGTAGCTTTGCGGAAACACTGCTCAGCTGCACACGCGAACACCCATATCCGCCATCCTGTCAATAACGACTTGAGACGTCTCGCGCATACGATCGACTCGCATTCTATTCATATGTCACTTCCGCTACCGCCACAATGTTCTCTTCGGCCTTGAAATCCTTCTCTTCAAATATCTCGAGCAACTACACGATAGCGCCGCAACCGTCGTCGACAGCTGGACCATGGAAGATATTCGACGCAAAGAGGAAACAGACTGGCAAGGCGGTATCTGTATTTGTGTTCGATAGGAAAAGTCTCGAGCCACAAAGCGGTGCTGGCTTTGGCGCAAGGAGCAGCGCAAGCTCGCTGAAAAGAGCGCATGAAGAAGTCGTTGAACAATTGAAAAAGGAAGCGAGTAGTTTAGCCCGGCTAAGACATCCTTCAATTTTGGAGCTCGCAGAACCAGTGGAAGAGACCAGTAAAGGAGGGCTGATGTTCGTGGCCGAGTCTGTGGTGAGCAGCTTAGCAGGTCTCCTCGAAGAGAAGGATCAACAGGAACGATCCGGCGGCCGAGCCAGTCGATATGTCGTGGAAGAATCTGATGGCACGAGGAGGCGGCGGGAGCTTGAGATCGATGAACTGGAGATACAGAAGGGCCTGCTACAACTGGCAAAGGGCCTCGAATTCTTGCACGAGAGTGCTGGCTTAGTGCACGCTAATCTGACCCCGGAAGCAATACTCGTGAACGCAAAAGGCGACTGGAAGATATCAGGCCTTGCGTTCGCGGGACCGCATGAAAGTAGTACGGCGGCAACATCTCTACATCCGATCAGTCTCCATGAAGTGCTCAACCACGACCCCAGGTTACCGCGAAGCGTTCAGCTGAACCTTGACTACACAAGTCCCGACTTCGTCCTTGACAATAGTCTTGCCGCGTCGGCTGACATGTTCTCGCTGGGTCTGATCATCATAGCGCTCTACAATAGTCCTCATACCTCGCCTTTAAGCACTGGTGGATCGCTGTCGTCATACAAACGAGTGTTCTCCAGTTCGTCTACAGTACCGACACAGAGCAACAACTTCTTGGTACCCTCCACTCACCCTTTGCCTCCAAAGCTCGCCTCCGAACTACTTCCAAGATTGATAACCCGACGGCCTGCGCAACGTCTTTCTGCCAAGGAGTTTCAAGAAGCAAGCTATTTTGACAATATCTTGGTATCCACCATCAGATTCCTGGAGGCGCTTCCTGCCAAAACGCCAAACGAAAAAATGCAATTCCTGCGAGGTCTACCGAAGATCATGCCGCAATTTCCGAAGAGCGTGCTTGAGAAGAAGGTGCTCCCTGCTCTCCTAGAAGAGACCAAGGACAAGGAACTGCTTGCGCCAATCATGACAAATGTCTTCGCCATGGTGAAAGTCATGCCAACTGGAAAGCGGGCGTTCACAGAGAAAGTCGTGCCCAGGCTTAGAGAAGTGTTCATCACCAATAAGCCGGCTGACAAGGATACATCCAAAGAAGCTGCTCTGATGATTCTGCTCGAGAATATGCAAACCGTCACTGAGAACTGTTCTGGGAAGGAGTTTAGGGATGATATACTACCTATCGTGCTTGTTGCACTTGAATCAACGACGCATGCGCTAGTCGACGCCGGACTTAGCACACTTCCATTCCTCCTACCGTCTCTGGACTTCAGCACGATCAAGAACGAGCTCTTCCCCGTCATCGCCCAAGTGTTTGCGAAAACGAGCAGCTTGGCTATCAAGATACGTGGTCTCGAAGCATTTTGCACGCTCTGTGGTGGTAATAGCAATGGAAGCAGCAGCGACGACGGCCTGAATGGTATCGGTGTATCTGACAAGAAAACGAGTGCTGCATCAAGCAGCATGATCCTCGATAAATACACAGTCCAAGAAAAGGTCGTTCCCCTTTTGAAGGGCATCAAGACGAAGGAGCCAGGCGTCATGATGGCTGCTCTCAAAGTGTTCAAGCAGGTGGCCGAAGTGGCTGATACGGACTTCCTGGCTATGGATGTGCTGCCAATCCTCTGGAGCATGAGTCTCGGACCGTTGCTTAATCTGCAGCAGTTTCAAGCCTTTATGGCGCTGATCAAAAGTATGAGCAGCAAGATTGAAAGAGAGCAGACCAGAAAGCTGCAGGAATTGTCGACTACCAATGGTGGTTCGACGCCTGGATCAAGGGTTGCTAGCCGTATTGGATCGTCCAGCGCAGGTGCAAATAGCGATGGAGATGGAGTGGATTTCGAATCACTGGTCTCCGGGCGCAAGCCTGCACAAAACAACGATTTGATGAATGACTGGAGCGCTCCGACATCTCCGCCATCGACCACAAACTCATCCGTTTCCGGCCGCGCAGCACAGCCTACATTTTCCTGGCAATCCTCTCTTCGGACTCAGGCCGCGCCGACACGGGCAATTACGCCAGATCTCGCTGCATACAGCACATTGACGCCGACAAGCCAATTCTCACAACCGCTGCAGCCTGGTCGTTCTTCCCAACCCGTGGCGACTCCCGCCTTGAACGCCGGCGGCAGTATAGACTGGTCTGCTGCCAGGAACAACAATTCGACATCCTCGTGGGCGGCACAAAGACCTCTACAGCATCAGCCTCAGCAGCAGCAGCAGCAGCCTCTGAATAATGGTATGAGACCGGCCATTTCATCGAGGCCATCGTTCGCTATCCCGCCACCGCCTGCTGCAAACCACACGCTTTCCAGTACAGCGGCCGCGGGTCAGCAGCAGCCCAAAAACGGTGCTGCGAGCACGCAGAAGAATGGTTTGGACAGGTATGAGAGTCTACTGTAGCATTAGCGGAGATACCCCAAAACGGTGATTGCACATGTATATTGCTTTGTCCCGTCTTCATCGTGGTTATCGTAGCCTCTTAAAGCTAGCCGTGCATCTCGGCTAGGCCTTGCCTTGCACCCCTGTCGCCCAGACAAAGCCCTGAAAGCCAATTCTCACCAAGCAGCGACGTCACTCTTTGACTTTTCCCGGTCTCAATACATGTATGTATCGCGACGTGGTGCTGCAGCCTTCAGTGCTGACTTGCCGAACTGCATCCCTCGCCTCCTATACAGGATCCGCCGGCTGTTGGCGACCGGTATGCGCGAAGCTGCGAGACGATGCACCGTTGCATGCAGCAATCGCTCCAAGCTCGTATGATTCGCGAAGCCCTGCAATGTTGCCCATAGGAGTAGTCGGCGCGGGAGGAAGCACTATTCTATGCGTGATGGATGCCAGTCAGCCCCGAAGGACTTGTGCCGCCGTTGGTCTCCAGCAAACATGCATCTCCCGCGAGGCCATGATGACTCTTGGCACACAAAATCAAGTCTTCTTCCGCTCGTTTTGTTTCGCATCGTTGCCCCTGCATTACCGCGAGCAGACAGCACATCTGCTTCCAAGACGACGTCAGCTGCATCACTGTGGCGCGGCACGAGCCTTGACCGGAGTCGCGAGGAATATCTACTCTTATTGAGCTTTCCACTTGGACCACTTCCGATCGCAACTTCGATATGACAACCAGCATGGCTACTGCGCACCTTGAACAGGAAGCAACCACAACAAACTTGGATCTAAGCAAGAAATCTCGAGATGTCAGATTGTCAAGGCGCATATCAACTGCGGTCCGATCTTTCCGCGTGTTGAAGAATTTAACCCCGGAGCAAGTCGACAATTTCATGAAGTCGTATCAGATCTACTCCTTGGACTGGGCAGATGAGAAGCTGATGCTGGATGCGTTGGGCCCCAACTACCAGAAAAAAGTAGGCGAATGTCTGGCCGACTACTACAGTGTTCTCAACCATCTATGCGCCCTCGGCGAAGTCGAGAAAATGTATATTCCTCCAGCAATCGACCTCTCACAGAACCTAGTCATGAACCAAATTCTCTACGAGGAACGCATAGCCAACGAGCTGAAATTACCCCCGAATGCCAAAGTCCTTGAGCTTGGATGTGGTCGTGGCCGAGTAGCTGCTCACATATCCAGAGTTGCACCTGGAACACAGATCACTGGCCTCAACATCGACCCGGACCAGATCACCAGCGCGAAATCCTTCAACAAACAGCAGCATTTGTCCAACCACTTTCAAGTTCATGACTTCAACGACCTCCCGCTCCCACTCCCGACAAACCATTTCGATAGCTTCTACGAGATCCAAGCATTCAGCCTAGCCAAAGACCACACGAAACTTTTCCAGGAACTGTATCGCGTCCTCAAACCCGGCGCCCGTCTCTCCATTCTGGACTATGTCAGTCTCCCCGCCTACGATCCCACAAACCCACACCACCAAACCCTCATGCAAAGGGTAAAACCGCTCCTGGGCGCAGTCGGAACCCCAACACCCCAAAGTATAATCGACGCAATGGAAACCGCCGGATTCGAAGTCCTAGAACACAGCAACGCCTCAACCGCCTGCTCCGGTCTCCAAGCACCTCTGATCGAAAAAGCAGACGGCTACTTCAAGCGACTAAAAGCCACAATCGTGACCGCTGTCCGAATGGGTCTACTTCCACCTCACTTCAACAAGCTTTTCCATCGCCTCACTCAAGACTGCGATGCTTTTATCGAAGCCGATCGCGCGCGTTTGATCACGACGGCCTATCACTGGCTCGCCGTCAAACCCAAGTTAACCGACGATTCCGCTTATGCGTCTCTGGCGAACTCGGAAGGAGCACTGGCGGGAAGTAGTTTCGCCGAGTCCAGCAGCATAGCATAGCATAGCATAGCATAGCCTTCTCTTTTGCTCCTACCATCACCAGCTTTTTTTACGGAATTGATCCCTTTTTTTCTTTCGAAAGCGACTCTTGCGTACGATTGCCATACAGCCATCATGCTTTATCGACTGAGGCAAAGATTTGTGAGCCTGAGTCGGAATGGAATCGAGCTGCCAGATGCGAAAGGTCGAGCAAGCGAGCAAGCAAGCAAGCTCATATATAATTCAGTATCAGCATCGGCATCAGCATCAGCATTGAGCGAGAGGTACCAATTCAAGATTTTCGAGCGAGATAGCGAACAAAAGAGTCGCGTTGGCACAGTACCTACCTATTCATACAGCTGGAGCTCTCAAATTAATTAATAATGTTTTTTTTCAGTGCGGTTTTCTCTACTTGAGAAATGCCTAGTTTCAGACTCTATTAAAGCTTACTGTTGTTTCGCTGTTATTATCGTATCCGTTCAGCCGTTTCGCGCTAAACGCCGCCGAATATGCCTTTCCCTCAACTGACTTGACTCCATAATCATCACACCACAACTGTCGTTTTTGCTCTCATCCAGCATCCCCATCGATTGCTCTTCTTCCTTTACTTGGCAAAATGGAAATCATAATTCAACCACTTCCTGGCCAAAACCTGATCAACATTCAATCCAGGTTTTCCATAGGTCAAAGGACTGAAAAACCAAAAACTCCAGACCACGACAGAAACCACGACACCCGTAGCTGCCCATGTAGCGAGGAGAGTTTGACCGGCAATTCTTTCACGGATAGGCTTGGAGAAACGTTGAACGGCCTGCGCTCTGCTTCCTTTTTTGCCGTCGACGATTGGTTGGCCTGAGACGAGGTTTTGGACTTCTTGGGGTTCGATGTTGAAGATGAATTCGATGATTGCGCCTGCGACGAGGCAGGAGGCCAGGTGTGCTGGGAGGTAGTGGTGGAGGAAGAGTTGGCGGCCCATGATGAAGAAGGGGAAGTAGTGAGCTGCCCAGATTAGGAAGAAGAAGCCTGTGCTGTTGTAGAGGCGGGATCGGGTGCCTAGGGTTTGAGTCAGTAGGAATGTTGAATTGAGTAGGAGGGAATGGACTCACGTCTGTCGAGAGCATCGATGCCACGGCGCACAGAGAGCTGGTCTGCGAAGATAATACCTGCAAAGACTGCTAAGAGTGCTGATGAAAACCACCACCCGATCGGGTTACCCATGAAGTAGATTTGACGTTTGGTCGCGCTTTCAGTCCAGAAGCTCACACCTCGGAGCAGGAAAGGCCATTGGACGGGGAACGACGCGTATGGGTGGCTGGAGGTGAGGGCGTTGTTGTGATAGAACATGGCACGCTGCAACTCGAGGTATTTCTTGAGGAATGGCATGCTCTTCGGCTTTCGTACCTGCTTCACAAGGCGAGGAGAGTCTTCCGGAATGCCTTGAATATCCTCAACATACCAGGTGTTGGAAGGTTGAAGAGCGTTCTTGTTGCCGTTGATCTCAGCTTGCTTATAAGCCCAGTCTGGCAGGGGAGTGGTGTGAGTCCACATGGCGACCTTTGTTGGGACATGGATGAGCTTGAAGTGCGAAGACAGCGTCCTAAACTCCTGACCATCCTTGCCATTGTCAATCTTGATCTCAAAGCATGTGTCATTGAAGCGATCGCCATTGGCTTGGTCGGCTGGCACTGTGGTGAACTCCTGGTTCGTTGGGTAGTATGGCGAAGCGACATCGTGGGTCAAGAGCCAGGTATCGGTAACCACATGTCTGAAACGTACAATGTCGTGGTTCTTGACAGGATGTCCCAGGCCGTCCATGGGACGAGCTGGAATGATCTGCCAAAGGTTGTTTGTATCGTTGTGCGGGTATCCGGTCACCTGCTGTCCTTGGGAAGATACACGACCATCCTCATATCGCAGCGGATACCTGTCAGGGTGCGAGTGCAGGTAAACCTTGGTGTCCTTGTGACGCATGGAAATGGCATCAAAGAAGTCGATTCCAATAGCCTTTTGCGCCATCAAATTATCCGAAAGAGTTTCCTGGAACTCGGGAGTCATGAAATCGTCTCCTGGACCAGATCTTGACAAAATGGCAAAGTGCACCTGGAACCAGAAAAGGTACATCAGGAATGGCACGGCGATCAGACCAGTAACTCTCGCGGCGAGATGCTTTCCGAACAATGGAAGAGAGAGTGCTCCCTGCTTGCGGTTGACGTCGAGCAGATCCCAGAGATCGATCAGAACGGGTACACCGATACTGAAGAATGTGAAAGCTCCGACGTATTTCGTGCTAATGACGCAGCTCATGCAGATACCAGTGAGAAGCAGCCACTTCCACCATTTCCTTCCGAATGGAACGTGTCGTAGCTTGTAAAAGCGGATATAGCAGAGCACGCTCAGTGCCATGAAAAGGACGAGTGTCGCGTCAAGGAGAATCAGCCTGGTCTGGCCGACGTGTGCATTATCGAAGAGGACGAGTGAGGCTGCGAGGATGGATGCGGGAAGGCTGTAGCCAGACTCCCACATGATCAGATAGGAGACGGAGACAGTCAAAGCTCCCATGAGTGCGGGCATCGCTCGGTATGCAACGTAAGGGACGTGATTATCGATGTATGAGTCGCCGATGTTTTCGAAGAGAAAGCTGCCATCGTAGCCAACGAGCCATCCTGCAAACGCGAACAGGAGCTTGCCGAATGGGGGATGGACATCGAAGAAGTAGCTTCGTTGGAGGTAGTAGGATGCGAACTGTTAGACATTGAAGGTCAGTCTCTATGCGCACCTGCTGCCTGCTCTACGACTGTGCACTCACCTTCCCGAAATGCACCTCGTCGAACACAACCTGGTCTGGATGCGAGATGCCCCAGAAGCGCGTCAGGAAGCCGAGAATGGTGATGATTGAGAAAGCAATCTTGTGATCGATATCGCTCTTCTGCGCCTCTCTGGCCGTGCTCTTGACACTGTCCCACGTCTCGTGAATCTTGCCATTCAAAGCCTCTTTACTGGGCGTTTGCGGGCGTGATCGATCCTTGGGCCCGCGTTGGCGCATGGAGCTCTGAGGTGTCGACATGATGGCCGAGTCGCCGATGCTACGCGTAGGACTTGCGGTTCCCAGCCGCAGTCAATGTGGAAGTGAAGAACAGTCGGTGGCAAGGAGTGTATGGAATGTCGAGCGGACAAGAGGCAAAGGAGCGTCTGCGGTGGATGTGCGATGTCGTGCTTTATGGGAGTTCGAGGCGGCCCAAAGTTTTGAAAGTAGCTAGCTTTGACCAGCTTTCCCTTCCCTTCGCCAGCCAGCCAGGGGGTGTCGCTCAGTCGTCAGCCTCACAAGGGACTCGTATGCACCACACACTTCTAGTGACATGCACTTCACATGCTTCGGAAGCGCGATTGGCGTGCAAGCAGATTGCGATTTCACAAGACAAATGTCTGATTTGCTTTCGTTACGTTACGCTAAGTAGCAATTCGGGGGTATCTTGCCTTGAACTTGCAATGCCATCGCCTGCCCACCGCCCACCGCCCACCGCCCATATGCACATGAAATCCAATATTAGTACTACAACCACCATTCATCATCATGTATACATTCCATCATGATCGCCTATCAAGGCGCGCGCCAGTAACCATACCCCGCGCCTATGAAAGGCCAACCATACTATGGCGGGCCACTCGACGCAGGTAAAGGTCCCGGCGTGCCATATGCGCCTTCCTGAGGCCGGAAATTTGCATTCGCATATACCTCGTGCGGCTTTCTCACATCGCCAGTGAGTCGATGTATTTGACTTGTGTCGAAAATGTGCTGTGGTGCTGACAACTCTTTGGACATGCCCGGCAGTGACTCTCGGAGGCCATCCCTCGCCCTCTCAGCAGAATCTGGCGCATCGATGGTGCTGACGCCAGATATATTCGAGCTATTGCGGAATCCTGTCAGCTCTGCCCCATTCTGCCGATGTTTGGCGATCACGAGAGGAGAAGCAAGATCCCTGCCCGGATGCCCGTGCGTGCGTGCCTCCGTCGGCGGAGCTGCTGCTAAGCTCGAGGGAGCTTCGACGCCGTCACTATTGACCGCGACTGTGCCCGAGCTGGAATGATCCAAGGGGGGTCGTCTTTGCATTGGCGTCATATAAGGACTTCCTGTCCGCTGCACGCTACCACTCAACTGTCGAATAATGTGTTTCGCGCCGATACCAGCTTCCGCTGCCCAGTCCGGAGTGTGGGTGAGGTTCGGCGTGCCGTGGTGCTGGATCGGACCCTGAGGCCTCGCCCACGGATTTTGCTCGATGAATTGCTCGTGGGCGATGCGTTCGCTTTGCGGCTGGATCAATGCAGCCCGGTTTGGGAAGTAGACCGTTTGGGCATGTGAACTGGAGTGATGAGCACGCTTCGAAATCTGTCTCAGAGGTCAGCAAGTGTACGCCGTCGGATGCACAAGCCCAACATACCTTCATGGCCTTCAGATCGTCCTCCAGAGAATCGCCTTCCGCGCCTGTAATCTCTGGCGCAGCTGGGAAACCGACGTATTTCGCAACGCCGCTGAGCACCGACACTTCCTGGTTGTACTTGGCTTGGATCTTGACCTGCTCGCTCTTCTTCATGGAGAATTTGCGGACGTACAACTCGTCCTTGTCCTGGTTGCTCTGCCGACGCTCATTCTGGATGTCGTACCAATCCTTTCCAAGCTGATCCATGACGTCCTCTCTTAGCTGTCGTGTGCGCTGGAAGAATTGACTGTGCAATTGACTTCGCTCGCCCAAAGTTGTTGTCCGCAGACTTTCTTTCTTATATTTTCTCCATGCCTCGGCCTCCCGCTTTTGTTTCTGTCTCCGCGCATCGACGCACGCGACTTGGCGCATAAAATCGGGATGTTTGCAAACAGGCAGGTTGAGCAGTTCGAGCTCAGCGTCAACTGCCGCGAGCTTCTCGTTGCAGGTCTTTTCGCGGAATGCGAGGAACTGCTTCGCGAGGTCTTCGAAGTTCACTGTAGCCGTCTGTCGCCGCTGAAGCTCTTCTGCAGATTTCGCGATCGCCTCCTCACTCTGTTCCTCCTCTGGCACTGGCTCTTCCGTCTTCTGCAATTCTGTCTCTTTGGTAGCATCCTTTTTCGGTCTTCCTTTGGGCTTCGGGCCCTTTTTGGCTTTAACGCCTACCAAAGGCGATGCCGGTGCAGCCTCGACAGCTTCAGAGTCGTCCACAATCGCTTCTTCCACAATACTCTCGATGTTCAAAGCAGGTATTTCTGTATCTCTGTCTTCTGCGACAAGCTCTTCAGCGGCAGAGCTGTGACTTCTCTTTCGAGGCGACTCGCCGATGTCTGAGTCGGCGCTGCTCAAGGAGCTCTCTCCCGTATCTGATCGCTTGCGTTTCCGACCTGTTTGGAGATCATCCGCCTGAGTTTGCTCCAGGCCTTGACCCGTAGGCCACTCACCGGTTGTCTCAATTGTGCTCGTGCTCGAGGCTGCGCCAGGACCCGCCGGCGGAATCGGCGAAGGAGGGTCTGACAAATCGTCAACGGCTAGAGCAGCTTGGCTGAGCTTGCTGGGCGTCTTTCCCGTGATGTCTGCGTCTTTGCGCAATTTGGTGGGTGTCTGGTCGAGCCGCTCGGTCTCTGCTTCAGAATCTACTTCAAGCGATTGATGTATGGCAAGCTCTCCAGACGTCTCGGTATTAACAACAGCAGTACCGGGTACTAGATCCACCTCATCGTCGTCCTCGGGCTCGCTCAGACTGCTCGAGCGGTCGTCATCCTGGTCGCCGACCTCGGCACCATTGATGTTTCCATCTATCGACTCGTCGAGCGCGTTCGCATTCTGAAGTGCAGCTTCGCGAACAGCGACAGGAGAGGCTCTGGCGCTTAAAGGTGAAATGGAGGGACGAGGGTTCTCGGCTTGAATGGGCGGCGATTGCTGTGCGTCGAGATGGGACTGGAATTCTGCGCAAATTCGCGTTAGAAAGGTATCATGACCGAGTAGAAGCGTGAAAGGAGGATCTGCGATATGAGTGAATGCAGTGTAGACAGGGTGACTTACTTGGCTGCTTTGGCTCGCTGCGTCGCGCAGTGGCCGGCGACGCCATTCCCGCGACTCTGGCCAGCTCGTTGCTCTGCAATGCCAGTAAATCTAGCCCGGCGCGTGGTCAATGTCTAGTCGTATAAGCTCTCGCGGTCGGTAGAAAGAAGCGATTGACTTGTGGCAGCTGAAGGTAGCCAGAGCTGTGAGAGAGCGTGTCGATCGCGGTGGGTGGTGGTGTGGGACTCGAGCACGGTGGTGGAAATGCAGAGTGCTGGGAGACAAGCTGCTGAGCAGTGTGCATGAGCTAGCAAGATTGTAGACAATATCAGGCTGAGGATCAAGAAACGATGCCTGAGTGTTCGCGCAGCGGTGGTGGTGGTGGACGGTAGCAGTGTGAGGGCGAGGGTAGCAAGTAGCGTAGGACCAAGAACAAGACCCTTTCCGTCATCGCTTATCCAAAAGCCGAGCTCGAACGGTGCGCCGAATCGCGAAAAATTGCATTCACACCACTTTCGTTCAAAATGGCCAAATCGAAGGAGAAATCAGATCAATCGAAGTCTGAAAAGAAAGAAAAACAGTCGAAAAATGCCGAAAAGGTCAACGTGGAGGAAAAGCAGTTCAGCCTGCTGGCCGACGACAAAACTGTCAACTCCAGTCTGGCTTCTTTATTCGCCGTAAAGGTGAGCAATGGCCCTGTCGCTATGATAGAAGTATCAGTGGGATCAACGCGACCAATGCTGACCGTGTCGTAGCAACCTCCAGTCAAAGCAAAACCACCGCCAGTCCTGCCAAGACCCGTCGCGAAGGAAGAATCGGATGTCGACGAGGAAGAAGAAAATGATGCGGAGCTATCCGAGCTAGAAGAGGAGGTCGGTAGTGACGATGATGTTGATATTGCAGAGAATGAGGAGCTGGAAAGTGCAGAAGAAGGTGCCATGGAGGCTCCGGCAGAGGAGAAGCCCCAGCGCAAACGGAAGAGGAAAGACGCAGGCGACGAGCTGGAAGATGCATACATGAGCCGTCTTGCGCGCGAAGAAGAGAAAGAGGCTGATCGACTCGCGGCAGAGCGTGCTGCAAAGAGACGAAGGCAGCACGAGGATGGGGAGGATGGGGATGACGATGAAGACGATGATGGCTCAGACGCTGAGCAGCAAGACGAGGCCGAAAACGATCATGGAGATGAAGAACATGGTCATGAGGATCTGGCCATGTCACCACCACCAAAACATGAGACGGAGATCGCAGCTGATGAGGAGCTTTCGAAGGCCAACCGAACAGTCTTTTTGGGAAACGTCTCCACGGCCGCCATATCCTCCAAGAGCTCGCGCAAATCCCTGCTCAATCATCTCGCATCATTCTTTGAGAAGCTTCCACCTAGCAAGGACGGCACGAAATACAAGGTCGAATCCATTCGCTTCCGTTCTACACCTTACGCAACGGCTATACCAAAGAAAGCAGCATTCGCCAAGAAAGAGCTCATGGATGCGACTACCAAATCAACCAACGCATACGTTGTCTACTCGACCGAGAAGCTGGCACGAGAAGCAGTTCGACATCTCAACGGGACCATTGTACTCGAACGCCACCTTCGTGTGGATTCTGTCGCTCATCCAGCCAAGATCGATAACAGACGTTGCGTCTTCGTCGGCAATCTCGGGTTCGTAGACGACGAGTCAAACATCCAGGATGCCAACGAGGAAGAAGGGCGTGAAAAGCGAAAGCGCGGCAAAGAGCCAGCCGACATCGAAGAAGGTCTATGGCGAACATTCTCCAAGTCTGGCAAAGTCGAATCCGTGCGCGTAATCCGTGACAGCACGACGCGAGTCGGCAAAGGAATCGCGTACGTGCAATTTGAGGACGAGAATGCGGTGGAGCAGGCACTATTGCTCAACGAGAAGAAATTCCCTCCTATGCTGCCGCGAAAGCTGCGCGTGAGCAGAGCCAAAGCACCCAAAAAGAACGCAAAGCCAGGAACCGGACGACCAACAGCCCGCCCATCGACAGGAACAGGATACCAACGAAAACTCACCGGCGCTGAAGCAAGTCAGATGGGCCGTACGGGAAAATTACTCGGACGGGCAGCAGCTGCAAAGGTGCGAAAAGGCGGCGGTGACGTTGGGAAGGAAAATCAATCCAGCACAGGAAACAAACCCCAGGTTGGAAACGGCATCAAGAGACCTGAAGACTTCATCAAAAAGTCCCCAATGATTTTCGAAGGTCATCGCGCAAGTTCCAAACAAGGGAAGAAGAGTGGACTGAAGCTCGGGGGAAAGGGGGGCGGTGGCGGTGGCAAAAAGAAGAAGAAGATCAGAGTTACGAAGAGGAGTACTTCTTTCAAGTCGAAGAAGAAGGCTTCTTCTTAGTGATGTGATGCGATGTTTGAGAGAGCTTCCGTTCTTGTGCGGGAACTTGGAGCCTCTTTTTCTGTAAATTTTGAATATCAGCTGCCGAGAACCAGCAGCATGTCTTCTTTCTGCTACCTGATCATGTTGTTGCCATGGACACATACACCGAGCATTCAGACGATTCGTGCCCCAAACCCAACCGAGAAGAATGAAGTGTGAATAGATGAATGTGCACGTTATCGTGGATATCTGTCGAAAAAGCTGCATGCTGATCTGATTTCAATTCCTTCTACCCTGACGACGACTTGGTTCATGATCTTGCTCGCTCGAGAGCATGCAGTAGAATAGTGAGGGAAAAAAAACGGAAGTTCGGCGGTCTCCAGCCAACCCATGTGTGCTCGCCTGCCGATTCTTCAATCCCATCGTGTAACGCCACGCTGCTGCTGTGCATACTAACGCTGTACTCAAAACGCATCAAATACCAGGACCCATCCGTTTAAATGGCCCAAGATCCTCTCCTGTTCACCGTAGCCCAGTTGCCTCCTGTGGCATCAGCCGGAACCATGTTCTTCTCTTGCCTCGCCCATTCATGGACATATAATTTCAGTGCTTGCCAGCGCCTGCAGTCGGAAGCTTTCAAAATACCACCGCCTCCCTCAAAGTCGGGACCAAGACGAATGTAACCTTTGGGACTCTGCTTGGCCTTGATGTCGTCTTCTCGAAGTTCTTTCACCGGTAGTCCTGAGATTTTGGACAGCTCTTCGTCGAAAGGTCGTGCAAGAGATGGGTATCCCAGTGAAAGATAATTGTACACCTGAGTAACGAATTCATCTGGGAACTCATTCTCAATCTGTTCCTCCATCTGCTTCTCCGACATGAGCATAGCGTCGAGACGGTTCATGTCGACACTTTCGGGAGGTGTTGGTGGTGCGACGGAGACTCCACCGTTACGACCTCCAAAGGACTGTTCAAATGGGTTGACGTTCTCCGCACGGGGTGCTGGTGTCATAAGTCCAGTAGGTCCAGCAGGTGGTGAAAGACCATTTGCGGCAGCGTTTTCTTCAAGTCCAACACAGAAGCCCCCCCAAAGACCTTTTCCAGGAGTGTTGCTCTTAGCAGGACTCTTAGCCGCTGCAGACGAGACGCTCTGGTCTGATTTTGTTGCAGGTGCAGTCCAAAGACCGCCAGCGCCCTTCTGACTTTCGCTTTCAGACTGTTGGCTGAGATAGCACATTTGTTGTCTCAGCTGGGCAGACCCTTGGGTCACGTCGAAGCGGGCTGGCTCAGGTGACGGACACCGCGGGAACACCAAGTCATTTCCCAGCATCGGCGGACGAGCACGATCGCGCATCGAGCGCATTTCATTATCTGGTTGATTAAAGGCGGCCCCAGCAGCTGGGTTCCACCAAGGTGAGTGCGATTCTTTCTTCTTTTCAGTCGGTCGGTTGGCATTGCGTTCTTGCTCCATTTGCTCGGCGTGGCGTTGCATCTCGAGTTGCTCCCACGGGACTCGACCCGTGCTCTCCCTTCGGAATCGAGGTCGCGTGGACAGAAACTCTTCCTCATCAAATTCAGCCCAAGTTACCGGCCTGTCTTCGATTTCCATGTCGCTGCCAGTGCTGTCTTGTTCCTCGTTCACATAATGCTGAACGGGCTCATGAAAGTCGGAATTGGGGAATGCAGCCAATGCAGCCTCCTGCAATCGCTGTTTGGCCTTCTTTGCCTCGAGTTGCAGCAAATAATGGCTGAAGTTCTCGTCCACACTCTCACGTATTCTTGTCGCATGCTTGTAAAACTCGTTGAATGAGGAATCAGAACCAGTAATTGGTGAGCCTCGTTCTGGAGAGGCGGACACGGACGAATGGCCAGAATCACGCTCACTTTCCGAACTCTCGATGGTATCCAGCTCTGGACATCGGAATGAATGTTTGCGCTCGTTTACGATCAGGCCAGGTCTGTGCGACACACTCCCATCCGCGTTGCACGTCTGTCTCCTCAGCTCAGGATGAGCGTCAAGATCTTCGAGCGACATGTGAGGGTGTTTATCGCTTGACGCCTGCGAAATCTGATCGGGAGTTTTCCAACCCGCATGACGCTGATGCTCGCGAGCATGAATTACATGGCCTTCCTCAGTTTTGTAGTCCTGGTAGTTAGCTGCGTTCGAGTCGCCCGCTCTGCGAGATCGTCTGGCGGTGGACAGGACCACCGGAGTGAACTTTCTAGGAGTCGCTTCTTCTGATGCCACTGTAGACGCACCGTCACTGTCCTGGCTAGGATTCCGGCTGCCGGCACGGCTACTAGACTTCCTATTTCCCCCATAAGTCGTTTCCACGAGTTGCGGTGAGAAACGAATGTGCCCCGACGAAGCCTGAGATTTGTCTTTGCTGCTCTTTTGCGTAGTTTCGATCGGCTGTGGCGCAAATCGACGCACTGCTGGCTTTTGCTCTTCCGCGGGCGCCGCTTCTTTCGCACGAGATGACTTTGTAGATGTCTCGATTGGCTGCGGTGCAAATCGACGCACTGCTGGCTTTTGCTCTGCTACTGGTGCCGCGTCTTTCGCACGAGATGACTTTGTAGATGTCTCAATTGGCTGCGGTGCAAAGCGCCTAATCTTTGGAGCTTCCTCCTTTTCTGGCGAGTGCTTGCGTGTCCTCGATGATTTGGTGGTAGTCTCTATGGGCACAGGCGTGAATCGCCTGGGCGGAGCAGAGGCATTGCTAGTGAGTGCATGGGCGGGCGTATTCTGCTCTGGAGAAGACATTGCAAGATGGCGGGCAGTTGCCCAAGCGTTCGTGAAATGCTACCCTGGCGCTCATACGCTCCTGCTGGGAGTCAAGGGGACCGACCAGGCCAGTAGTGAGATATTGAAGAGCGATCACGAGCGTTCGGTATGTCTACAAGTCGGCCAGTTCGTCCGGAGTCCGGCACGAGTGGTCGAGTGCAGGCGCAGGTACAGGTAGGTCAAAGGAGAGAGTGAGTGTTAGATGCGGGCGTGACGTCGGTCGGCGTGACTGTCGTATGCGATGTCGGGAGAGCAGATACTGCTGGATGGTGGTGGGAATGGCAGAATGGTCGTTATCGCTAGTGGGACAATCGCGGCTGCCCGTTGAGAATGACGCCGTGCTGTGCTGGTGAGGAGCGTGGAAGCGTCTGCCACGCGGCTGCAAGCGGCTATGATCTTTCTCTTGGCTGCGGTGCCAATGGCGATGGGGGGACTCGCGAGTGAGATATTCCAGGAGGATGTAGGAAGAAGTGTACAAGAAACCAAAAATGGAGCCACAGGCTGGCAGGTTGTTGCTGTAGAGAAAGAGGTGGTGGTGTGCCCTGTTCGAGCGACGCCAAAGCCAGCGACAGCAGTCTCGAGCCACTCACCGACCACTGCGACAGACGGACTACAGTACAACGATCGGCGCATCAGATCGCAGCAATAAGGCCCTAACCGGTTGCCAGCGATTATAGCATAATCTCATGGATTATGGCCTGTAGATTATAACAATCTACGAAAGCTGTTGTTGTCCGGTTGTAATCGATTATCCTCTTTTAGATTACTCGCTGTCCTCGTAATCTCGCTATATTATTGCTATATATAGTATAATCGGTAAAACTAGGTCTAGAGGTAGTTTTGCAGCTATCCGTGCGCTAGATTAGACTTCTACTTAGCGTACTAGTATCTACCTCTTTATAACCGTAGAATTCGGTAGTATAGCGATTTTAGAAATATAGAAAGTATAGCGACGACGATAGACGAGTAGACGACTATATTACTAGCGCTAACCGCTTTTAGCGTAATAGTACCGCTATTCTTCTTTTAGGAAGTACTACGATTCCGTAGATAGTACGCCTATCGACCGAGCGGCTATATATCGACCTAAATTAAGCGCAATAAGTTTAAGAAGGAGACGTTTCGAATACTATATAGACCGAAGCGCTATTACTACGATTAGACGCGGTTAAAGCAGCCGGTACTATTATCGTTTATCGAGGAATTAAAGAGGTATAGATTAGAAGGTAAGAAGTATTCGGTAGAAGCGAGGGTATATATATTTCTCGTATATATTAGGCATAATAGCACCTACTTAGAGTTAGCGACTAAGTTTAGTATATTGCGAGATATACTATATAAGATAATACCGGAGGTATCTAAGTATATATATCGAATAGTAAAGGACTATATTAAATTGCTAGAGCCGAAGGATAGCGATATTCTACTATAGGCGGAAGGCGCTAGTAATAGTATATTCTAGCTATATTTTAAGAGCTATATAGGAGCTATTAACGGCACGTTATTAATTGCTAATCTACCGAAGATTAATTAAAATCTATAGCGGTATCGGAAGGGCTATATCGCTTAGAATATAATAGCTACGTACGACTTAAACCTACGCTTCCTATTTATAATGCCCGGTTACGAGGGATTAGCGACCGATAGCATAGTACTAAGGAAGGCCTATACTAATAGATTTAACGTACCTAATAGATACTTCTATCTCGCCGATAGTAGTTATTCCTTTAAAGATCTACGCCTTCTCGTACTATACTAGAAGACAAGATATTACCTTCGTAAACAAGGCGAGGTAGAGGCTAGGCCCGAGAATTATAAGGAGATATTTAACCTCCGCTACGCTTAGCTTCGTAACTATATCGAGAGAGTATTTAGTATAATAAACCGGCGATTTAGGATTATTAAGGAAGGCCTAAGTATATAGTTAATCGCATAGTAAAGTCGCTTTATTATTGCCTATACTATTATTTATAACTTTATCCTCTCTAACGGTCGACAACCGCTATCGAGCGAGCCTAATTTAAATCCGACTAATACTAAATTAGATACTAAAAGGGAGGCGGATACTATAGCAGAGGTTTATAAGGATAATAGGCGCTACGCTAAAGCGACTAACAATAAATGTTACGCGGATTATCGTAATAGAATAGGGAAATAGATATATACTAAGTACGACGCGTACTAGTCGAAGAAGGGCCTCGATATAAGGGCGTAAAAGCGAGAGGTACTAGATAGAGTACGGCGAAGGATATAGGAAGGTCGTCGAATATAGAGGCAAATAGCGGAGGGCTAGTTTTAGTAAGGAACTTAGTAAGGAAGCTGTTTCTAAGTTTTAATAGTTATATTCGCGCTTCTTATATACTATCCTCGTCCTCTAGTCGAAATTCTTATAGGCCTAAAATTGCAGGTCTTAGCATACTTTTATAATATTAGAGTTCGAGCTAATAGGATATAGATTTTTTGTATATGCAAGCAACGGTACGTAACCTAGATTTGCTAGCAAAAATTAATAATACCTCTATATAGGTTAATAGTATAGACGTTAGCGTATATTTATAACAAAATTCCGTCCTAAGTATATATCAGGGCTAAAGAGGCTACACGTGATTGGCATGTGACTAGGCCAAGTGAAGCTAGGGTCTCAGTGCCTTAGGTAGGGCTTGGCGCTTAGCGTTAGGCCAACTCTCCTGCCTTCCTCCCTCTCCTCCTAGATCCTTATCGAATACTATACTGATTTACTACTACCCTATCTACCTGCTAACATAACCCTTCTTATATAGTATTCGATCTACCCTTTAAGGGCAGTAGCTAGATAGTCCTTATTTCAAGCTTTTAGCGGTATAGCTACGAAAACTATCGATTTAACTATATTGCGCCCGAAGAACGGGACCTATACGTACCATTCTATCGAAACAACCGTACTAATTATTAAGCAAGGCCTTCTATACGGCCTATTATACTGAGTTAAGCATACTAAGCCGATATCTACTAATCCCGCTACATCCGCATCTTAGGGGCTAACAATACATTATTAGTGTCGCCCCTTACAATAGCCGGTTTATTACGAAACAACAACCGTACTGCTGCTAGTAGCGCTAGCAATAACAACACTAGTAGCATAGCACCTACTAAAGTGCCTACTAAAGTGCCTCCTACTAAAGAGCCTACCGGAGAGCCTATTAAAGAAGAACCTGTAATTCTAGGTAATAATCCGGAATTGCCTATTAACGACATTCTTAACAACATTGTCAATCGACGATATAGCTAGCTAGCCTTTGGCCCCCAACTAGTAGGGAGACTCTAAGAAGCTACCCAAAACAGGCTTACTGCCCTACGTTAAGAATAACAGCTAAAGGATAACCTCCTCGAAATTCGCCGCCTTTAGGAGGCCCTAACAACTAACACTGAGCCGATAGTAGGGCCTTCCTTACTATCAGTCCTAGTCTAGAAGAAGGATGCTAAACTTAAGGACTATACCGTGTTTGATAGCTCTAGTCGCAAGCAATACAATAATTATATACGTAATTGTAAGCTTAACTAGCGAAATGCACTAAGGGCTCTTCTAGACGACTATTCCTTAGTTGTTTACGCTATACAGTACATTAATAGTAACCTAAAGCGTACCTAGGACGACCATTTCGATTCCCTTAATAATTAGACTACTGTTCAGTAGAAAACCTATAAGACCATTATGCTAGACACTCTTAGAAACCCGATACTAAGACAATAGCATGCTTAGGACTAATACCTTCGAGCCAAACAAAAGACTAACTAGTCGGCTCGTTTATTTAAGGCCTATTTAAAGACCCTCGAGGATGACCTTCCGGCTAAGACTAATTCTATATAGATCTCGGAAATACGCCTAAAACTGAGATGGGAATTGGTCCTTAAATTAGACCGCCGCCGTGTATTTGAATAGACCAATCTTATATATATTCAATTTATAGTTAAAGTCGAGACTGCAGAGCGTACAGTATAGCTCTAACAACGGTTGGAATCTAAGATACGCCTAGCTACCTATCGTAGCCGCGGAGGAAATCAAGGTTCGTATTAGAACAACACTAGTGCTAACAATAGAGGTAGCAACAACAACGACCGTAGGAGAAGCCGTAGCCGACGGCTATATAGAGGAGGCCGTAATAGGGACCGTAGAAGGGGCTCGTATCCCTATAGTACTAATCGCTCGGCTAATAACAGCGGCAATAGCTATAGCAATCCTCTAACCGGACTAAAGTGCTTTAACTGTGACAGTACTAGCTATCTACTAGGCTAATGCGACAAACCTAAGGACTAGGCCCGGATCGACCGTACTACCGCTAAGCACCGAAAGCACCTTTTAGCAGCTAATGCTACCCCTATAGGCCAACCTTCTTATTAGTCGAAAAAAGAATAAGCGCCGCACTAACTATTAGCCTCGTACGGCGTAAGACCATCGACATTGTGCTAGCTATAATACGCTCCTGCCTTGTATAGGATACGAAGGGCACTACCTATTAAACTAAGGTTATGCTAGATCTAGGAAATTCAGTTAGTGCCCTTATCAGCTATCGCCTAGCTAAGCAATTAGACCTTCGACAACTACCGAAGACTAACCTACTAACCCTTGCTTAGTTTAATAACGCTCGGCACTTAACCTATAGGGCCTACTATGTTCCTATAGCTCTAAAGGACGACCTCGGAAATAAACGCCTACTAGACTTTACTACCTACGCAGTAGATATAGACAACCTATATAGGGGAGCTACTATTATTATTAGCAACCCTGTTCTTAAGCACTATGCTGTAGCTATAGACTTAGGCGTTTAGAAGTGGCGATTTAGAATCGCTAGGAAAGAGGACATTAAACACATTAATATTAGCGAGTGCCCTAATAATATTAGGGTCCTATTCATTAGCAACCTAACCCTAGCTAATCCGACCGCCGACCTACTCGGTAGTAATAACGATAAACTAGTGCCCCCTAATAGCATAGATCCTAAGCAACTTAAGCGTATACTAGAACCTATTCGAGAGACCTATATTAATGTGTTCAAACACTACCTAGCATCGACATTGCCTATATTTAAAGAGACGGATTATAAGATTGATATTATAGAGGGCAAGGAGGTTCCTTTTAGCCCCCTCTATAACCTTAGTAAACGAGAGCTTGCTATACTACGTAAGTACCTAGAGGAAAACCTAGCTAATAGTCGAATTCGATATAGTAACAGCCCTGCTAGTGTACCTATCCTGTTCGTGCTAAAGAAGGATAGCGGCCTACGGTTATGTGTTGATTACCGTAGACTTAATGCTGTCACTATTAAAGACCGCTGTCTACTTCCGCTTATTAATAAGACCCTCGACCGCCTTTCTAGTGCCTACTATTACACTATACTAGACATTAAGGATGCATACTATCGCATTCGTATTCGTAAGGGCGATAAATAGAAGACAGCCTTTCGTACTCGCTATAGCTATTTTAAGTACTTAGTTATGCTATTTAGGCTAGCTAATGCCCTTGCTACATTCTAGTCCTATATTAATCGGGCCCTGTTAGGCCTATTAGATCACCTCTATATAGTTTACCTAGATAACATCCTAGTTTACATACACTCTCCTAACATTGCGGAACACTAGGCTATAGTCCGTAAGGTACTCGATCGCCTAAGGGCCTATAGCTTGTATTGCAAGCCTTCTAAATGCACCTTTACTGCTAAAGAGGTATTATTCCTCGGCTTCCTCGTGTTAACTAAGGGTGTTAAGGCTAATCCTAACCGGATTAAAACTATTACTAAATAGCCTGTTCCTACGTTAATTAAGGAGCTGTAGTCGTTCCTCGGTTTTGCTAACTTCTATCGCCGATTCATTAAGGGCTATTTACGGCATGTAATGCCCCTAACTGAACTCACTAAAACTAAGGCCAACCCGACTAGAGAGTTTAAATAGACTAACAAAGCGCGAGCCGCTTTTAACGGTTTAAAGCAGCGCTTTACTAAAGTCCCCTTGCTGTACTATTTCGTACTAAGTAAACAGATCCGCATTAAGACTAACGCTTTACAGTTTGCTATATTAGCCATTATATTACAGCAGGCTAATAATAGTTACTAGCACCCGATTACCTTCTTCTCGAGGAAGATAATTAATGCTAAGCGTCGCTACGAGACCTACGAGCAAGAGCTCTTAGCCATTATTAAAGCCTTTAAGCACTAGCGCTACTATCTCGATAGTGCCTAGCATACTATTTAGGTCTATACGGACTATAACAACCTCCGTGGAATTACGAAGGTTACTAGGGTTATAGGTCGACAGGCTAGATAGGCCGTCTACCTCGCCGGGTTTGATTTTGATATATTATATCGGCTAGGTGTAAGTAACCCTACTAATAGCCTATCGAGGCGACCTAATTACGACAGCGAAACCTAACACATCAATTCTTTGTTTCTAACCCTGTAGTATAAGATTGCTATAGCCCGTGTTATTAATAAGCACGCGTAGGATAAGCGGCTTACCGGACTCCGCGACGGCTTAAAGCATATTAATGCTCTTACTATATTAACAGTGCGTATTAAGGCAAGAGCTAAGGACACAGACAGGAGAAGTTATAATAACTCCCTAGTCGATATCGCTATATATAGTAACAGCGATTAAAGTACTAATGCAGTTGATCCGGCTGCTAGTACTATTAGATGTATATAATGCGTACCTCGTTTAATAGCGAAGGTGCTATTAAATAACCTTACAAATAGGGATAGTTAATCGTTTATAGATAAGCTGTTATAGGCTTAGCAGAGGGACGCCTTTACTACTAAACGTATCGACAAGCTTATAAGTAGGCGAACGACTCGATCTAGTAAGAGTAACTAGTCGATCGATAACAAAGGTTATTTAAAGTTCAAGGGTAGATACTATATCCCCGCTGAACATTCGATCCGATAAGAACTTCTTAAGCGACACTATAATAGTGAGCTTGCCGGTTACTATAGCATAGAGAGGTCGTACGAGCTACTATCGCGCATATACTACTAGCCAAATAGTAAGCGGGACATAAAGGAATACGTTAACACGTATGCCGTATACTAACGTGTCAAGGCACTAAAGCATTAGCCTTTTAGCGAGTTGTCCTCCTTACCAATCCCTTATAAGCCATTTGTAGAGCTTACAATGGACTTTATTACAGGCCTTCCGCCTACTAAACGTAGGGGCAGCAAGGACGTATATAATGCCATCCTTATTATAGTAGATCGATTTACTAAAGGCGCTCGATACATCCCGGCGCGCAAGGATTAGACTGCTATTAATATAGTAGAGGCGCTATAGACTAATATCTTCTATACCTATTAGGGAACCCCTAAGGGGATAGTCTCCGATAGGGGTACGATATTCATATCGCACTATTAGAGCGAAATATGCCTATAGCTAAGACTAAAGCATCGGCTATTAATAGCCTTCTATCTATAGACTAACGGTCAAATAGAGAGGCAGAATGCTACCCTGTAGTAGTACCTACGTAGTTATATTAACAAGAATCCTAAGGATTGGGTCAATCTCCTATAGCCTATAGAATTCGTATATAACAATAGCGTACACTCATTAACTAAGGTTTTACTATATATGGCTATAATGGGTCAAAACGCCGCGTTGCTACAAGATCTATTCACCTCGCTCGAGGCCGAGCGTAAGGAAAGGGAAGCGCGTTAAGTACTAGAGACACTAGCGGCGATAGAACGTATCTAGAAGATGCGAGAAATCTATGCTAAGATGGCTAAGAAGCTAACAAAGGCTTAAGAGTATCAAAAGGCCTACTATAATAAGCGCCATACACCGATAACCTTCAAACAAGGCGATATAGTTATGCTCAGTACGAAGAACCTCCGTATCCGTAAACACCTATTACCTAATAGCAACATAAGGCCTAAGCTCGCACTAAGATACATTAGCCTATTCCGCATTCGAGAGGCTAAGGGCATATAGGCCTATCAGTTATAGCTCCTACCTTATTACACTATCTATAATACCTTCTATATATTACTCCTTAAGCCGTACTACCTACGCGAAGGGGATGAAGCCCCTACAGAACACGAAGACATACTAGCGGATAGTAAGGAGCTATAGTCTATAGAACGTATCCTATAGCATCGCACTAGGCAAGGCAAGAAGGAGTACCTACTAAGATAGCAAGGCTATTCCCCTAAATAGGACTCGTAGGAAGCTAAAGACTCTTTTGAAGATATAACTAAGTTGTTAGATGAGTATTAGACTAGTATAAAGGACAAGAAGAAGGCTAAGAGGCTATAATATTACTATTAGGACCTAGGAACAATGCTACCCCCGGGGTGCTATTAGCTAACCAATTAGAGGCAAGCAGTTGTCAACAATAGAGGACAATAAGACTACACTAGGCGCGCTACGACGCGTAAACTAATTGCCTGCTCTTTTAAGGACTCCACCTCTTTACTAACGCGCCCTATAGGTCCCCCCTCTTATTCTTTATTCTATCGAGGCCTCGAGACCTAAGCGTTCGATAAGGGCGATATACGCGCGCGTGCGAATGACGGTAATGAAGGTAATAGTATCGCGCTACGAGCTAGCAGTACGCCGGCGGCCAACGCGACTATATTAGTAACGGTATTGCCGAGTTGTTATTAGTTAAAGAAGGAAATTAGAAGAAGGTGAAGTTGGCGCTAAGACGACTAGCGCTACTATTGTTAACATTACTTGCTATTATTACTACGCCTATAGACACAACCTTACCTATACTACGAGCCTAAGGCACCTTAATCAAAACTTTAATTAAAACTTTAAGGCTAAGTTAAAGCTTTAAGCCGCTTAAAAGATTAAGTAGACTAATAGACTAACTAACTAAGGGCAAAAACTATAGAGCTAAGCTAGCCGGGGTCGATCTTGCGGATAATAGGTTACTCCTCGATCTATCTAACTCTTTAAGCGAGGCGAACCTCTACTACTGCACTTATAATAGCCTTCACCTATAGAAACCAGACGAGCTATGTTTTTTAAAAGATAAGATAAGATTGACAATTAAAGGCTGCTAAACCTAACCAATTAAGGCTAGCGAAACTACGAACAATAATAGCCCTCGTAACAATAAGAACAACCCTCGGAAGCGGACATTGCTAGGTCTTTTAAGAGTAGACGTAAAGAACTCGATACGACATTACTTAGAACGGAGGCAGTACTACAATACCTCGTACGTCTACCTATTATAGTAGGGAAGACGCGCTCGTATTGTAATTAGTCGAAGGCCTTCAATTCTTGTATATATATATCACTTTATAGTTCATTATATATAGAGATAGCGTAGTTAGAGTTGTATATTGTATTGTTTGGAGGTAAGGTTTAATATAGTTATATAATTAGGTAGTTGAGTGTTCAATTCAGCGCGGGCTAAGTAGCTTATTAGACTCGCTAAGTTAGCGGCAATAGAGGTCGCGAAATATAGGCAGGCTACGAGGGCGCGGCCTTTAGAAGGGAAGCGTATATCAGGGCCAAAGAGGCTACACGTAATTAGCATATAACTAGGCCAAGTAAAGCTAGGGTCTTAGTGCCTTAGGCAGGGCTTGGCGCTTGGCGTTAAGCTAACTCTCCTACCTTCCTCCCTCTCCTCCTAGATCCTTATCGAATACTATACTAATTTACCACCACCCTATCTACCTGCTAACATAACCCTTCTTACAGTATACGAATCTTCCTATTAAAGTATATAATTTAAGCGTAAATATAAACTTCTTCTACTACTTTAAACTATTCTTCTTTATAATAACCTATCGCCGATAACCTAATAGCACGTATCTACCGTCTAGCTATATCTACTATAGGTAGCTATTATACGGATCGTTCGCCTTTCTTAAATCTACTAATACAGATAGGAAGTACTCCTTAAATTGCTACTAGTTTATAGATAAAGCTACCTTAGCGTAGTCGTATTTACTATTCTTCTTCGCAACCTCGCGTACTAGCAATATACGGCTGCCGCTCGTTATCTCCTAATCCTTCTAAGTATTCTTATCGAGAAGGCGCTTAGTTACTATAGCGATAGCGGAGCTAATACTAGTAGTAGCCTTCTCGTTAGTACGTTACTATTTAGCTAACTTCCTCGTAGTAGTACGTTCTTCTTTGCTATCCTTAACAACCTCCGCCGCTATTAATAATAACGGCTCGAATGCCTTCCCTAGAGCCTTAGTAATACCGGTATTCTATATTGCTATATCTGCCTACTTCTTACAAATACGATCGGCCTCCTTCTGTATCTTCTTTTAGTGCTACTCCTACGTTTTCGCCGCGTTTATAACTATTAGCTATTCCGCTATTAGCTGCTCGCTATTAACCGCCTCGCCTATTACCTTAACCTCGTTTTCTTCCTCGTTCGAGCTACTATCTACCTCGTCGTCCGCTAATTTATCGTACGAAGCAATATAATCGCCTATAGCTATATCCTAACCGACTAACTCGTCTATAAGCTCGTAGTATTCCGGCAATTCGTCGTAGAACGGAGTATACCGTAGATTAGCTTTAAAGTAAGCGTCTTCTATATTACTCTTAGCGGTTAGTAGCATACTATTCTAACCGCTAACGTGCTTTAAATAGCATACCTAATAGCTCTAGTCCTTCTTAATCGAGGCCTAGCGGTTCTTTAAAGCTAGGTCGTTACGATTAATATTAAACCTTTTATTTATTAATATTACTAGGTTACGTAGGTCTAGAATGCGGAAGTTATTAGTATCGGTGCCTTTACTAACCTTCTTTAATTCAATCAATTGCTCGAGGAAGTATTCGGTCTATGCCTATATCTAGTAAACTAGCGTAGTCCGAGACTGCTTATTAGCCGATTAAGAGGCTATTAGAGTCGCTATCGTAGTACGCTTCCGACGACTAGCCGCTAGAGTACGTAGTTTATTATTATTAGGTAGTTGAGACACTATAGTTCGATTAACGTAGTTTAAGAGAGATTAGCTACTAACTTCTATAGCTAAACTATAGTAAAACTGTCTACTTTTAAGTATATATCCTCTCTTCGACCTTATACGACGATCTTATATACCGCCTCTACCTTATTATATACCGCCTTCTACCTACCTACTACTATAAGGCGCCTATAGTTATAAGAGCCGTAGCGGCTATTATTAACTAAGCTAAGAGATAGAAGGAAGCGGAGGTTAATAAAGTAGATACTAGATATCTGTTTCTAACCGCTTGTAAGCGATTATAGCGGTCTATAATCCGAGGAGATTATAAGACTTCAATAATCCATAAGATTATGCTATAATCGCTAGCAACCGGTTAGGGCCTAACTGGGAGCTGTGCAGCTGCCTTTCTCTGGCCTGCTGGATGTGGCGATCCTGGTCTGCTTTCGTCCCACAAGATGCATTCCTCGGAATGATCCGGATACGGCTGTTGAGGAAGAAGCCACTGGGAGAGCTCACTGCAGGACAAAAACACCTCCGTCATCTGCACGCGAGAACTCCCGATGGCAGCGGAAGTACCTCTACCTGCTCTCCAAACCACAATGCTCGTGATCGATCCCAGGCCTCGGTGCCTAGGAGAAATGCAACAAGTACCACAGACCTGACCCCCCATCAATAACTTAACCGCTTGCATTGGCACTCCTCCCGATGCAAGCCATGCTGTCGAGAAGACCAACGGACCCCAGATATATTAATAAACCAGCAAACACGAATGACTGATCTGCACCACATTCAGCAGTTCAGCAGAAGGAGATGGAAACGAGACCGAGCTTCTGCGCTTCAGAATAGCAGCCCCGACGTCGTGCTTCCTGTCATCATTCTTCTCCGAGTTCTTCACGCTGGTCAGTACTGTAGAATAGTGACCGCACCCACACCTCGTAGTTCGTACCTCTGTACTTCCCCGTGGAGTATGGAGGACATGATTAGCGCGGACTCTACATCTTCGACCTTGTAGTCGGAAGATATCGGACGCAGTCTCACGTGAAAACAAAGTTGCTATGAAGCAGCCGCATCGTTCTCGGGTCAGGCAGGCAATATTGCTTCCAATTCTGCACGTCGGCAGCAAGTCTATAGCATGTCATACCTCAACCACGACCTTACTCAAACCCCAAGTAAGCCGCAACCACAGCTCCCCAACTCCCACTATTCCAGCGTTTTAGCAACTGAACTCTAATGGACCGCATCGATAGATTGGGTTAGTGAGTAAACAACTGGCTTCCAGCCCCTTGCTACACCTAACCACTTCGAGCCAACCTCTGTGGTTTGGTGGCCCCATCGTACCCACGCCGTGAGGAAGGGTAGGTGCAGGTCCGCATCGATAGAATAGGCAGTAGACTAACTAGAAGTGAATACGGTTGGAAGCTTATAAGGCTAATCGCACTGTAGAGTCGACTGCTACGCGTCTTCTAGTCGCGTGTCGATTACTAGACCACCTGCAACGACAACAACTATTAGCAATAGACCGCAATTATATGCCAGCGCACTTACACGCCTTCTTTAATCTAAATGAAGGGTTGCAGAGCTTACCAGATCCACTCTATAGTACGTACGGAAGTATAGTACGAAGCAGTCAACCTCCGGCTTTATAGCTATCTCAATAGCAATCGTAATAACAGTTACAACAACCGTATTCGTCGCCTAGTATTCACATGCCATATCTAGAGACTCTAGTGCCAATACAGCAGTATTATTATCCGAATACGCCGCCGTTTATGCTACCGCAGTCGTCGCTATTGTAGCCGCCGCGATCCAGTCTATTTCCGCTGTCTAGTCCGCTCGAGAATCTACGCTTTATCGACCTATATACGCATTTAGCTTATAGACCAACGACCGCTTCTGTTTACTCACAATCGGCTTAGTAGCAGTCGCAACAGTCGCAACCGGCGGCTAGTCTTACTTAGCAGTCTTCACAGTTTAGTCAGTTTATTAACTATAGCCCTTAGTAACTAGAGGCGACGGCGTAACGGTTACAGGGCTCTTAAACTGCTTCTCAATTAGCGTTAGAAAGCACTCAATCTCAGCAAAGTTTATAGTCGTAGTTCAATTTAGCCTCGTCCGTTCCTTCTAAGCTCGACCTAACGCACTCTACTCCCGTAGCAAGACCGGAAACTAGTAAGAAACCTAGCCCTCGACGGGGCGAAGGTGCAGCTCTAGCAGCGGCATCCGAACAAGAGGCGATTAGTAAGGAAACTAGTATAATGGCTTCTACTATAGAAGCGGACAATAAGCGCTTAGGTGCTTAGTCGGCTAAGTAAGCGGCTATAGAAGATAGTAAAGAAGATAGTGTAGAAGGAGCGGAAGTAGAAGAAGAAGGTAAGGTTAATAAGGACAACCTAGTAGAAGAGGTGCCCGATAAACTAACGCCTCGAGGCAAAGGCAAAGGCAAAGGTCTAGTTAAAGGCAAGGTAGTGAAGTGGACAGCAGACATTAAACTCCTCGTCCTTCGAGTCCTTGTCTAGCACTCTTATAGCTTCTATTACGAGCCGCTTAGTGGTTTCGTTAATAAGTGTAAGACGGAGATAGAACAGACCGCTAAGCGAGAGTTGTCGTTAGCACTAAAGTGTCCGAAGAACCTAAAGCGTGTTGTCTTTAGTAAAGGCAAGGTAAAGGGTTGGATTAGTAAGAGGTTAGATAACCTATTGAGGACTACATCTAAGGACAAGAATCCGAGTACTATAGACATTGAGTTAGATAAGTTAATAGCTATAATGGAAGCCAAGAAGAAGGACAAGGAAGCTAGTAAGCAGACTGCAGCCGAAGAAGAATGGATAGACAAAGAGAAGGAGGCCTTATTCGATATAGCAATAGGTCGCTCAACGAGTACTAGTCCTTTAACAACGAGTCGCCCTTAGAGCGAGTTTAATGCTGAAGAACAGGCGGAGATAGAAGATGATCTAGAAGCCGCCGCTAAGGACAACAATAGTCGTAATCGGAAGGCATAGGCTCGAGTTGTAAGCGAAGGCCTCTTGCTTAATCGTACGAGTAGCAAGTCGCTTCGACAGGCTAGTATTGCTAAGAAGAATCTGATCGGCGAGCATACTATAGCCTCCAATAATCTTGCTAATCTTGCCGAGAAGGATATAAAGCAATCTAAGCGCTAGTTTGACAGCATACTAGACCTAGAGCGAGAGGCCAACTCCTTTAAGAAGCGGAAGATCGAGTTGTTAGAGGCATAAGCGAGATCGAATGCGAGGGTGGAGGATCTAGTAGCGGCGCTTAATGCTGATCGTGAGGCGACGGCGACGAGGTTTGATAGCGTACAGGTAACGGTAGATAGTCTTAAATTGACAGTGTCTAACTTACAAAGGTCGGTAGAAGGTGTTAGAGCGACGGCGATAGAGACAAAGAGTAGTATTAATAAGCTGAAGGCGTTATTGTTAGCGAAGTTAGGTTAATAGATTTCGACATTCGGATATATATTGTAGAAGAGATTAGGTTTCGCTAAGCATCGAGGTTGTCGCTGTATTTACTAGGAGCTAACCGATTATAATTAAACGGCCTTCCCCTTTAGCAATATAACCGAGAATCGTAACCTTAGCGTCGGTTGTAGCCGCTAGCCGGCTTTAGAAGTTATCGTAATTTCTAGGATGTAACAACTTCTTTACTATTATATCAATATTAGGACAACTACCTACGCATTACCGGTTATAGTATACTCTTTGCCGACTGCCTTTGCCTATCGTTTGCGACCTTGAACGCGAAAATCTATCCGTTACTCGACTGGCGGATAAAGCCTAAGGTAATACCGGATTGTTGGTGCTATACAGTTGAATCGCTATCCTATAACATCCGGATTTCTTCGACCAATTCTATAAGCTTGTTGCCTCAAACACACTATATAGTTGTGCAATAATACTAACACCCTCTAATATAGTGCGACCGGTTGTATACCGACCTACATCGAGCCCTTAAACCAATTCAATCCCTAATAATTCTCGAGTTTGCCGAAGCCCTGTTCGACGAGAATTCGAACGCTAGCAAGTCGAGTATTTGCTATACGCCTATCCTTAGTAATCCAACGCCAACTACGGTGATCAGCGAATAGAGATATACAGCTATAGAGGTTTGAATAAGCGTTGTTACCAGCAACGAAGATAGCCGGCCGGCGGAGCTCTAGATAGCCTAGTAGGTCAAATATTGCTCGGATCTTCGCTAGAACACATGTCTGTCTATATATATTCTAGTCGTTCGCTAGTCTAAGGAATAGCCTTAATATCGACGGCAACAGTCCATCCGGAGTGGCCACACCTTAGTATTTGAAGCCATTAGCTTTATAATAAGACGAGTATGTTATCTTCTGCCACTAGTCGTTCTTAGGCATAGATATCGCCTAGAATACGCTATCAACGAAGCCCTATATCTTATTGTCTCCGAAGGAAGACTCTGCAGTAATACACTCGGCATAGTACTGCAACCTGTTGTAGTTAAGACCTAGCTACTAATCGACTAAATCGGACTAGGTTAAATGCAGCAATTCGATCGTTCTATTAAAGACAACCGAGTGCTACGAGACACTGCGACCGAAGAGCCTTGCTTAGTGGTACTACCTGTCCGGATAGGCTATTCTTTAACAGACTATATATAGCGCTTGCTACGGCTCTGCTTTACACCTTGAAGGGCGGAAACGCAATGTTTCTACACCTAGCAACAGCTTAGACAACTCGACAAGCTGTACTCGAGTAAAGCGTATATTGCGGCGGCAAACCTTATCGTCTATCTAGTCTAAGTACTATTGGAAGTGCGTAGACCTAAAGGGTGCACGAGTTTCACGCCTTCTCGTGTGGCGCTATATAATATAGTGCAGGAAGTCGTATCTATAGCCTTCGAGGTCTAAGGCCGCATACAGAAGTCGTCTTCTACGCCTCTAAGACGCCCTTTAATGAAACAGTAAGAAAGAGGCCTTCATTTGATGCCAAAGTAATAATCTATGCTCATACATTCACCTACACTATGCTAGTTCACGTGCTAATTGCAGGTCTTCAGATATCGCCAAGGCGGCCCAACTTCCTTCCGACTGCACGATCCAGGTGTCCCTCGCTGCACCTAATTTTGTATGCTTCCGGCGACAGCCGTGTCTAACTAGAAAGAGACGATAGGGAACTTAAAACCATGTAGGAAGGTTTGGGTGCTAAAACGCTGGATTATCCTTCGCCCGAACCGCAACCCTGCCCCCCGACCCTCCAAGCGTCACCATATTCTGAACACCCTTGGTATTCAAATTATACAACTCCACCCCATTCCCCTTCCTCAGATCCCGCAAATCCACCACATTCACCTGACAATTCCCCTCAGGCCCGGCCTCACACCCCCCATAATTCGGCCCATTGAAAAACGTCCAAAACCCATGCCCATACAACGGCAAAGTCCGCGTCTCCTCCCCAAAAATCCTCAACGCCCACGCCATATAACACTGACTAACATTCCCACCCTCACAACCGCTGAAATCCGGATCCTGCCACGTCGCATTCGGAACCCAAGGCGCCGGCGCTCGTGGCGAAGGCTGCCAATACGGCGTCTCAACCTGTAACAACGCGGCAAACACATTCTGCGCATTTTCAAACTGATACGCATACAACGTATGATGTTCCGACCCCGTACCCACCAACCACGTTCCTTTTTTCGCTTGGATCAAAACTCCCCTCCCCGTCGCAATGTTTTGGGGAAATTCCCCGTCCAAATCATGATCTGCGGTCCAGAACCAGGAGTTTTCCCAATAGGAACTACTCGTGGGGGATAGATGTAGGAGGAGAAAGGCGGCTTTGCAAGGTTTGGAGGCTTCTTGGCATGAAGTTCTTAAACGCGAGTCGACGGCGCCTCCGATGCGGAAATGTGTGTTGTGGAAGGATACATCTCCCGCCTTGGTCCCGGCCATGTTGACTTGCACGAGGATTGTTCCTGGGAGCATGTCGGAGACTGTGAATAACATATCTGTAACTTCGACGAGGCCGGTTTCGCCGGGTTTTCCGACTTGGAGCATTGGGCGGGGAGAGGTTTCGGAGGAGAATTTTGGGCCGCTGGCGGTGATTGTCGACCAGACTTGGCCTACGATGCGGGAGCCGGGGGGAATGTAGATGGTGTCGGTGACGAGGTAGATGCCGTGGGGGAAGTAGGTGATTTTGCAGTTTGCGTTGGCCACGAGGGCTTGTTGGATTGCGGCGGTGTCGTCAGTTACGCCGTCTCCTCTTGCGCCGGCGTCTTTGATGGAGGCGAAGGCTGAGATGGGATAGTCGAGGTATTGGGGTTGGCGTTTGTTGAAGTAGCGTCCGTCGCTGGCAGTTAGGCTGCCGCGGGTTGTGTATGGGAGGAATGTTCCGTTGGTATTGGTTGCGTTGCCTTCCGAGGCCTTGTAGACGTGGCCCAGGGCATATGTCCTGCCGACAAGACTGCCGATCGATCTCGCAGTTCCGTTCACTTTGAGTGTAGGTCCGGAGTTCTGGGTGACGATGTTCTCGAGGATAATCGTGCTGGTGCCGTTGACCACTACACCGCATGTTTCACAAATGCTGTCAATGAGGGCAATTGATCCAGTAACGTCGATACCACCCATGTCGACGCAGATGCCCACGTTTATGCAGTGGATCTCTTGCATAGTGAGCGTGAAAGCATGTCTGACAGCAATCCCGGTGGCGACGTCCTGAAATTTCAGGTTCTTGAAAGCGTATTGCTGATTGTTGAAGATCACGCCGATAAGTCCTCCGGTGAAGGTAAGATCGCCCATGAATAGTCCTGAACCGCCGCCGGAGTTACCACCTCCTCGATGGCCGTCCATCGTGAGGCCAATGTGTTTGCTACCCTTCGGCATGTTGAAATTGACGTTAATGAGATTGGTCGCTTGAGAGACCGCCCAGTTGAGCGCGTAGATGGTTTCATTTGGATCTGCTCCCGATGTATCCAACATGACATTGCGCAGCCCAATGTAGAAATTCGTGGTAGATGGCTGGCCGAAATCAAAGCCGGAAAACATGTGCGTATCATTCCTCATGATAGATGAAGCCTTGATTGTGGGCATGTGTATGGCATCTCCCATGACTTGGGTGCCGATGAATAGCTGTACAGTTGAAGAAATGATATAAGTTCCTGGGGGAATGTAAATGAGTGCTGGTTGCCCTGTTGATCCTCCTCTGCCCATGCCGCCCGCCATGCGACTCTGGTCGGAAATGGCGCGATTGAATGCATCTGTGTCATCCGTCTTCACAATGCTCATGATTAGCTCCATATCATGACGAGCACTTGTACATTGTTACTCACCTCCCCGTCCCCTTTTGCACCATAGTCCTTCACATTGCGAAAGACCTTGTAGTCCCGTCCATCTACAAGGAATGGACTAAATCCCTCCAATCTTGCCGGCAAATTCGGCAGCCAGTATTGGCTTTGCTTTGCGGGACTTTGCACGCCGCATACTGATGGTGTGCTGTAAGGCCGTGGGCGGTGGGATACAGGCTGCCATGGTGTTACAGAGCTGTTTCTATCGCTGAAGTCTCCGTGTCCTGGATTTTTGGGTGTCCAATCTTGGTATACTGTGGGATCTGGTTTAATCACGTATGCTGGTGCTGGCTCGAGGTATTGCTGTTGAGCAGTTGTGAAGCAAAAGAACGAAGATACGCAAATGAGTGACTGAAGGAAAGAAAGCATCGCTCCTGCCTATGCCATGGACTCGCTGGACCGAAAGTGGACGAACGACCGAACGACAGCGATGTGTATTCTTATGTACAGTCAATGTGAGGAGATTAAGGATTAAGCCGCTGAAGCCCAAACCTTAGATTCTTAGGGCCTGTTTACTTGCACCTGCGGGTCGGCTGCAGGTTGTGGCACCTAGTATAGATTGAACTGGCTCTAAACCACGGCCGTACGTACCACTTATGGACCTTCTGATAGCACTGTCGCTTCCAATAGACCCTATAGCGTCTTCTTGTAACGCACTTGTTCACTTGCAGTAGCAGTTGTCCTTTATAGAATGTAACGAAGGCTTAATACTAGCTATATAGGCGCCTGTATCTACCTGCGGTAATCTCCGAGCGGGGCTTAGCAAGCAGAATTTGCACTTCCCTAAGAATGCGACGGATTCTATATATTCTTCTATTATATACAACAACAATAACGTCGTCTATATATATTAAGATATACGCTATAAAAATAATAATATACTACGCTTTAATTTGCTGTAAAAATTATCTCGATCCGATACCTCCTCGTTAAGAAATAAATCCTACGTTTACTATATCTAAACCTACTCCTTAAGCTAGTTTCGACGACTCCTAGTTAGCACCTACTAGTATACTAACCGCTATATAGGCTGCCCTAATAGATAGCTAGCTTATTAATTCCTAGCAAGATATTAGAGATAATATTGCCGTATTATATAATACTATAGAGGCTAATTCTAGCGATAAAGATAGCTCTTCCGATAAAGAAGAAGGTCGGCTTGTTTAGATAGCTAAGATAGAGCGAGTCCTTCTCGAGAACGTTGCTACTTAAATTAACCTTAACAACTACCGTAATAGTTAACTAAAGCTATAGGCTCGTAAAGATATTGTCTCTAATGTCTCTCGTTAAGCTAAGCGGTCTATATCTTAGAAACAATACCGTACGAAGCTCCTGTTCTATAAGGCCCTCTATGCTACGTTTATAGCGCTTAAATACGAGTCTAGCTTTAGCATTAACTACGAGACTAGAGTTATTACTGCCGACTTATTTATTTAGAAGGACTATCTTACAAAGGCCGTCTATAAGAATACGAAGCCTCTTAAGGACTATAAGATGCTTTACGTTAGTCTATATGCTTCTATCTTCGGCAATAAGACAGCTACTAGTAAGAAGTCTAAGGGCGGTATTAAGACCTCGAAGAAGCGGACAACTAGTAAGTTAAACAAGGCTAATAAGCGATAGAAGCTAGAGCCTATAACTATTAATAGCGACAACGAGGCCGAGAAGGAAAACTAACCGCCCGAAGTAGTGTCTAAGACTCCTAAGGGAACCGCTATTTCTACACTAATTCCTAAGGACTCTCCTATACCTATACGGGCTCTTAGTTCTACTAGCATCGCTCTATAGGTTTCTAGCTCTAAAGGCAATCGTACTAGAGCCGTACGCCTTGCTAATACTATTAGTTAAGGGCTTCTTACTATGCGTCCGGATATTCTAGTAAAGCTAGCTCTTAACAACTTAAACGACTTTAACCTGTCTTATAAGCTCTATAGAGCCTATAGCAAGGCCTTCTACGACAAGACCTTCGGCGACTTCGAAGCTAGGTCCTTCTATAAGGGCACTCCGAGATATAGGCGTACGTAGCTCCGTTAGATTGCCGCCGAGAGCGCTATAGAAGAAGATATTAAGTCCGAGATTAAGTAGGCGTTAAATTGAGTCGATTGAGCGCGCGTTTCCGGTAGAGAAGCTGCTTAGCTTTTAACAGCCCTAACTATCTACTATTTAATACTAGGTCTATATATATATACGAAATTTACAAGTCTTCGAGAATATATATATATTATACTCCGTATTAATTTTTATATGCTTCCGACGGCTAGTTATAGTGTTCTAATCGTATATAGGTTTCGATAATCTAGTATGCGTCTCCGGCTTAGTAAGCGGACCTAGAGCCGGTATCGAGTCGCTCGAAGCCGACCCTAGCTCGGCTCCGCGGAGGTATTAGCTATATCGCTACTCGAATTCAAACGCCCGCTAACGGCACACTATACTACTAAGATAACACCTATATTATATGTTTGTATAACGGCGAAATATCTACTCGATACGGGCTATAATCTTATTAAAAAATCATCTAATTTAGTTAAGAAGTAAGCTTATACCGGCTCCGCGGAGGTAGTACGAGAATCGGTTAGAGTAGTTTAAGACATTTCGAAGAGCTTCTCGAATATAACTTAAATCTTAACGAGTTAAGTCGATTAAGACACTTTCTAGCGTTTAGCGCTAGTAAAAGTAATTAATACGATAACGATAAGGCATTTAGGCACTATCTACTTCTTATTGCTTACACCCTTCTACTAGACACTTAAACTACGCTCTACAAGCTCAATTAGATAGTCTTACTATATCTCCTTTGCTAGTTTGCTACGCTAAGCAGTTATGTTCCCGTTCTTAGCACTTAGCGATTAACTAAGTGTCCGGATTGCCCTCTCGCCGCTGCCTTAGCGGACCTTAGGTTTAAGAGCCTCTTCGGTATTCTAGCGCTTAAACTCGTTAGCAATTAAGTCGTCGCTTAGATTAGTACGACGTTATTAGCTAGTAACCGGCCCTATACACCTAGGCTAAGTTTTAAGCCTATATAAGAGGCCTCCTTCTATATTGTAGATAGAGTACCAACCTCGTATAGTATATTGTTTATATTACACTTCTACAATGCCTATATTGTAGGGCTCTAGTTATTAGCCTAAGCAACCGTCTTGTTATCCTATTATGCTAAACATAGCTGCCTATATTGCTATAGGTTATATTACCCTCGGTAGCCTATACTATTACTGTAGGTAGTAGTAGTAGTTTTAGTTTCCGTCCTTTATTAGAGCCGAAGGTAGGGCTATCTCTTTATATCTAACAGGTTCGGGTATGTTAAAGGTAGTCTCTAGGCACGAATAGCTATAATTAAAGCGAGGGCACGATAAGAGCCTACGATATAGACAATACCGAAGTATCTTAAGGGGCTATTACGACAAGCAGAGAAAACTCTTAACGAGGGCATCGCTTTAACCCCGAAAAGCTGCAAACCCTTAGGACTGTTACAGCTTAGGGCCTAGTCTATAGCTATAGCTAGCTTCTAAGGACTCGGCTCCGGGTCGAAGACTTATTTAGCACCGCTTGCTCGAGATAAGCCCCGCCTAAGGAGGAGATAGACTAATTACCTATCGGCCTTGCTTGGTTTGCTAAGACTATTAATTGATAGCAAATACGGATTGCAGGTCGGATAGCCGGGGAGTCCCCTATTAATCGGGTAGGGCGTTCCTAGATTCGTAGCCTCGCTTAGATAGTGCTTAGCCTTCTACTAGAAAAAGAAGGCCACCGCCCCCCTACCTAGCTAAAGGAGATACGAGCTAGTTTCTAGGATCTAGGTGTGAATAGAGATTGCAGTCTCTCCCTCCGAGCGGCTTTTGTCCAAAATCTACTAAACTAAGCTCCTAGAGGTAGTTAGGCGACCCCTAGGAGGCTAAATCCTAATACTACC